ACTTTGCCCATGAGCAGCAAAAAAAAGATTCCCCAATTCATTTTCGCATATCCGAGGGAGGAATTCGACATCACGGCCCGATGATAACCGGATCGGGATACCGATCGGGTCGCGTAGCGCTTCTCGAGGACCGACTACAGATTTTTAGGCGGCGAGTAAGACCAGAGATGGCGGTGAGTGAGTAGGAATCGAAACTCCAAGAAGCAAACACGAATGTCTTTCGCACTCAAGGGTTCTTGAGATCTTGATCGGTCTCCGCTCGTGCACCCTCGACCCTCTTTTTCACTCCCAAACATCGCGAAAGAATTTTGAAAGCAGAATCAGCAGAATGATCAGATGAAGAGCGAAGAAGGTTGGTCACTGTTGATCATGGCTGCACGTGAATTGCTCTGGAAGCGAGCGGATCATTCGCGCACCTCCACATAGAACGCTCTCGGCAGGGCTCTAAATTCAGATCGCCACTATCGACCGTCCGCGCTCTATGAGATATCGAAACCGACATGCCGAAATCAGTGTAGGCGGGCACCCATCGAATAATCAGTCAGAATACCATGTGGCGCGACACCACACCGACCATGTGGTGGGTCACTTCCGCGCACTCCCTTTCTAGGTCTATCATACGAGATGGCCAATTAATGAGTTTGAGCTCTAGAAGCCTAACGTGAGCTGTCTGTTCTGTCCGTATGGCATGCTTCCTGATGCTAGACAGCTCGACACCTCTAGCAGTCTCTCTCTTCGCTCGTCTCAATAGCTCCGCTGTCGATTGAATCGCGCGCGTCGGAGACTACGCTCTCATCCGGCTGGTCTCAGGGTTGACGTAAAAGTCGTCATAGCCTCCACGACGTAGCAGTGTAGGTGTGGAGGAAGCTTGCTTTGGAATTTCGAGCTCCCCTATGATACAAGCCCACATTGGTAGCGTGACATCCCACTGCAGCAACGATCGCAACAATCGTCAAAAGCAACCTCACAAGGCCATCGGACCCGCACTTAGTCGCTTGCAGCTGCGAGGCCGTCGCGTCGGCTGCAAGACAAGGTCATCGTCATTCGATCGTCTCGACTCGACGTTGAAAACCTGGAGAAGCTTCGCTCCAAGGGATGCCTCGCGATCTCATCATTTTGCAACTCGTTGGCAGGTGCCCAGAACTCATATTCGATTCTTTTGCGTGTTCAATCCTCGTTTTGAATTCTCTCGTCTGGCGGTGACGAACAGATTTCATGGACTGTTCTCGTTTGCATGATGAGCTGGCGCCAAAAAACGCTCGCGAATCTTACAAGTTCCGCGCCCAAGTATTCCGACGGAGACCAAACGCACCCCGTTCATGATCTCATGGCCAGTATGTCCCCTCCCGATTGCAGACTGCGGAAGTCTCAGTCAGATCGCTTTGAAGGGAACATCTTTTTGCTTTCTCGTACAAGCCTCTAATTTCAGTTCTCGGCGCTTCGTTGCAGGGTAAAATATCCGAGGGATAAGGCAGTGCTGCCAGAGCGAGAAGGGTTGGATTCACCCTCGGATTCCTCCCGGCGCTGCGCAAGCATTTGCATGTCACGCCCGATTACCATTTTTAATTTAAATCATCCGGAACCATCCGCAATGGAAGCTCCCGCTCTTCCGAAAGAATAAAGACTAGTTTGTTGGATGCTTTCCTTCGCTAACCGAATCCACCCTCAAAATTATTCTCGGAGCCGCAGGCGGAGGTCCACCGCATGAAGACATCGCTCTCAGCGATCGAATCAGAATTCTAGCCCTTTCTAGCACAATACGCTCCAAATAATTCACTATCGATCGAGTCCTCCAGGTTTATTCAAAGCATCGAGAAAGGCTCCATGCCTTCAAAACTTATATTTTTCGTTCTTATCCCCGAGATATCAGTCGTCGGAGAAAATCGTGATCATGGAGGAAGACTTGCGTCGTTTCAACGCATCAACCAAGACTTGTCCACACCGAGGGTTCCCCTCTCCTCGATTTCCCATCCGGTTCTCCTCATCCGATTGAGATCGCTAATTATCATTACTCTCGATGGATGATCTCCGGAATCTCAAGTATAATTCACCAGTTTGGGTTTCGGTCGATCCCATCGCTACGAAAGAGGATCGCACTCCCGTGGACGCCTTGTTCTATCAAAGTTACCCATGATCTAGAGCAACATATGAGACGCAAAACGCAACGAACTCAAAACTAATGACGGATGGAGCGAGCCTTGTCACATCTCCGTGAACCGAAACCGAGTTCGAACCGTAGTGAGTGTATCGAATAGGAGAACAGGCAAATCAAACGATACAAACTGAAAGCCAAACTCGTTAGGCATATGTTAAATTGAGAACAGAAATAGAAGGGAAACTCTCACGCTGAATAGGAGGATAGATAAAAATCAAAGAGGATGAGAGAAGGAAAGCCGAAGGTTCGAAAGAAATGATCGATTCAAGCTACTCGGTATCTCGAAAAACTCAATTGGCCCATGAGAAGAAGCCCGTCTTACGGTCTCGGAAATAAACTTCGTGTCCCGCGATTCACGGGAAAAACCACGGCGTTTCATTATGAGATTCTGCGATTCTGCTCGGGCCGAAAAAGCAACTGATGAACGTAGTCACGGCGGGAGATACAGAGACAATTCGACATCCTCAGGAGTTCAATCAGCACAGGATGAAGATATGAAATATGTCCTTCTCGAAGGTGAAGATAGAAAAAGAAGCCGTTCCTTTCCCTGCCTGAAGAGTTTCAGGTGACCCACGTTCAATCTGTTGCTGTAACGACCAAGCGATTCATGGAAATGCTCTGGACGCCTCGATGGCCAACCCATCTCCGAAAGCATAGAGGTTTGAAGCTAAACAAACGAGAGTGTCCGAGAGGGAGGACGGAAGACTTCGAGAGCCAAGAGGGTCATCAGAACACCGTGAAGTTTCCTCTATCGGTGAACATAGATTCATTGATGATGCTACTGTTGTTGCTGACGGAATACAGCGATCTGCTGCGAGCGTCGCCTCAATAACGTACCTCGACTTTGAAACCGTGGTTTCCGATGCCCAGACGTACCTCCACTATACGCCTAAACTGCTACCACACAGTTTGACAGGAATCAAAGCTACGCCTCGGTTTCCAACTCCACCTCCAACGATAGTAACAACAGAGAACTACTACGAGCCAATAGCAGGCAGCAGAAAGGCAGCAGCAGCACAGCTAGCAGGAGGCATCAACAACAAACACACACAATACAACAGCTATCCTCCAGCGAACAACTGAAAGCACTCGCCGCCGTTTCGTCTGCTGTGGTACCTCGCAGCGGCCACCACAAAAGTACCACAGATTTCCGACCTCCAGCTCGGCTCGCCGCTGCCGCGGTCGGGGCCATTGACATCACTCAACCCGCGCGAGCTGAACCTACACTACATCTACGGAGCGCATAAAACGGATAGGAGTATCGAAGGCGCATTACTCGGGGAGGAATGCGAAACTCTGTCGATCGGCGACCAAAGAACAGGCGGATTTCCCAAGGATTCGACAATAACGAGTCGAACATCTATCAAAAGAATACCCCATTCGGCGGACTGTCGACATGCTCATGGAGGTGGACAGACTCGCATCGGTCCAAGCAAAACTCCGGAACACGTCAACTCATCCTTGAACATTCACAACCTCATACATGTAATTTCATGCATAGTGCGAGTCCCATCCCTTCGGCCTCCACGAGAGCCTCAGTCCTGAAACTCCACCGGTAGTCTCGGGATCCATGATTCCCCAAATATTCCTTTGCGATGTGTCGAGCGGTGAACAAGGTTGGCTACACGTAATCTTTCTTTCGAGCTTAGTCCCCGCGTCAGAGCAGCTCGATCTTCGATACAATCATGCGAATATATCCTCAATGAGGAGCAGCTCTTGGCCGATGCCCACCCGGTTGAGAACCTAGAGCTGTATTCGCGCCTATTCGCGCGATCTGAGCCGGATACCGAAAGTCCTACTCAGTATGTCCACGGACGTCGCACGCGCCAAGCTTATCCTCAGGGAGCCTATTTGCGGAGGTTGACTCACTCTTTGTCTGCGCAAATCCGGAAGATGGACATAACCACGAAACTTCGGTGAGCGTGAAAGAATTTCCAGTCGGTATCGAGTAATCTCGTCTTTCTGAGCTTCTCCCTATTAGGGCGACTCAACCGTTGCGAACCTCCGTTCCGCGCCTATGACGATACCTAGAATATTTCCTTCAGACATCTATCGACGAAAAATAAGTCTAAATCAGTCTGGGGTCTAGGAGTAATGATACCATGAAGAAATGAGGGTCTTGATCCCAACTTGAAACTCCGTATGTCTTCAACAATACAGGAAATATTCGCGTATACCGTAAGCATGGTTGGAGTATCGTTCGAATTCGCCGGACCCAGGCGGCCCACCGTGCAACATGTGACATGAGCCTCTCCGAAAACGGAGGTGGCTGTATCCGGAATCCGAATTCAACTCGAGATTCTCTCGGCCTCACTGGTCAATGCCTCCAGAGTGAGCGTCGATAGAGCTGGTCGCTCCGAACCTTCAGAGCTCGCTCGACCGCTCCGAACTTGATGTACCCACTCGCAGATGGACACCATCTGTCCCGTTAGAAATCCTCCATAGCGAGTGCGCGGGTCAGTGGCTCTGTCCCGTTAGGCCACTCTATGGTAGACCCTTGACTGACACATTATGAACTCACCATATTCTGTCGCGGCGAAATCTCCCCGAATGCTACTCTGACTGCGCACAATCTCTAGCCGGTACTTGTTCAAGTCTTTAGCCGGAGATAATCCCTCCACTACTCTGAACGTGAAGGGTGCTCCGTGCTCTCTCGTTCGAAATGTACCACAGAGCTGTGGCCAGCTTTGTGGCACCTTTCGGGAGATCGCGCAGTGAACGAACGGGACTGAGGGTCCACACGTGAGATGCTCGGTGGATAAAACCGCTGTCATAAAATATCTGCGCTGTGCTCACTATCTGAATTCCAACATGCGATCCTGAATGAGATCCTGACCCAGACAAGATGCGGGTGAGTGCAGAAAAGAGCGCAGGGAGCTTGTTATTCGCCTTCGGACAAAGTCCTCGAATCAACTGTCATACAGCCCGGCGATTCATTCGAACAGTTGTGAGATGTTTCCTGTTCCGCTAGGAAAGTTTGGAGCTCAACGATACGGATCCCTCGATGCAGAGCATACTGGGAATCGTTCTTGAATTTTTGCATCATAGGCATGCATGAATGAATCCCATCGGCAGCCTGCCATACTCAGTAATCAGTCGGGACCGCAAAAGAAAAGTGCCGGCTCAGGGAGTCAGCAGGGGATTCGAACTCAATGAGGTCGATGAAATATTATCTTGGATGGTCTCTCCATAGTTCTGCCGATCCCCAACATACATCGATCTCAAGCACAAGATAGCTGAGAAGGTTCGCAAAACCGCACAAAAGACTGACTTGCCCACCCGAGCCCTGCTCAGTTGTATATCCACAAATGATTGCCAACTCGATTTCACTCCAGTAAGTAGGACACTTTTTTTCCTCTCCTCTGGGTCTTCCCATGATTTCTGAAGTTCGTGTGCTTGACTTCGGTCCTCGGATTCCCACGGCAGATATCGAGATCTCTCAACGAGCAGGTATCTTCTCTCCGCAGGCTGCCGGAAGGCAACTCGAAACGGAAAACATCAACAGCCTGAAGCCCATATCGTCCGAGAATTTCACAGGGGAAGATCTCGCACGATGCATCTTGTCAAACAAAAATGTCACAAGCATCCTTCTCCACAATATCCCGACGCAGAAACTCGTCGTCGACTACAGCTCTCCAAACATAGCAAAGCCCTTCCACGTGGGTCACTTGAGATCAACGATATTGGGTAACTACCTGGCGAATCTGAAGCAGTATCTCGGCGATGAGGTCGTGCGCATCAACTACCTGGGAGATTGGGGAACGCAGTTTGGCATCCTGAGTGCAGCATTCCAACAGATCGGTTCGGAAGATCGTCTCAGGAAAGATCCTCTCAACCACTTGGTGGACGTTTATGTCAAGGGGAATAAAATGTCACAAGCTGACGAAGCCTTCAAACAACGAGCACTCGACGAGTTCGCCAAGTTGGAGGCTGACGAGAAAACAATCAAGGATTTCTGGTGGAAGATCCGGGACATCAGTCTCAAAGAGTACTTCAAAATTTACGCCAAGCTAGGAATAAAGTTTGATCTCATCCAAGGCGAATCGGCGCATCACAAAGATACTCTCGATCTAGTCGAATCTATGACGAGGGAGAAACTTCTAGTCGAAAAAGATGGACTCAGAGGTTTGATCACCGAAGCCGGGAAATTCGTTCCCCTAGTGAAATCCAACGGGTCAACTCTGTATCTGACCAGGGACATCTGCGCGGCCATCTCCCGGAAGAAAAAATTCAATGCCGACTCGCTGTTGTACGTGACAGATATCTCCCAGGCTGAGCATTTCCAGAATTTGGACGATTGTCTCAAAGTCCTCCGGAGAGGAGATTTTGACATCGTTCACGTAAAGTTCAGTAAGATCCCAGGCTTGAGCACGAGGGAAGGTCAGGTCGTGTTGCTGCAAGAAGTACTGGACGAAGCGGCGAGACGAGCCCTAGAGAGCATGAAGATCGCCCAGACGACGAAGGTGGCAGGGGAGGAGATGGAAAAGACAGCCTTCGATTTGGGCTTGTCAGCGCTCTTCGTGAAAACAATGGACTCTCGTCGACTAGGTCGGACAGCTCCATTCAACTGGGAGACTTGCTTCTCGTGGAAAGGTAACTCGGGGATCGCGCTACAGTACGCTCACGCGCGGATCTGCACTCTGCTGGAGACGAATAAGGTTCGTAGGACTTCTTGAAGTCGTACATTTCATGTGGAGGGACATCGATTCACTTGAGAAATTTCAACCTGGGGAAGCGAAGACGTGTTTAAGAGATCAATCGCCAAACACTGGAACGCCGTCACTGCTGGGGACTCCATTTTTTTTCTCTGTCTCAGGGCGTCGAGCCGAAATTCCATGAAGATCAGCTCTGCAAGCTTCTAGAAGATCCAAATATCCGAGAAGCCATTCTCCATCTGGCGCGCTTCGACGAGTGTTTGTTGCGGAGCGATACTTCTCTCGAATCTTGTGAATTGGTTCTCTACTTGTTCCAGCTGAGACATGTGATCAACAGAACATTTAAGTGAGAATTCCTTCGGTCAATTTACTCTTCCCTGATCTTCGCTTCTCCAGTACAAACTTTCATCCCATTAATTTTTCCAGGAGCGCGCGAGTCAAAGACGAAATTCTCCAACTAGCCGAGATGCGTTTGCTCGTACTCGTCAGACTCCAGGAAGCTCTAGCGGAAGGTTTACGATTATTGGGACTCCGACCTGTGAAGAAAATGTGAACAGGACTCTGTCGTCAACGACTCCTTTACCTTGTAGAGTATTTTTATACGCAGTCATGCGGCTGTTCTTGTTGAATAATAATCGTGAATCGAGCAGAGCCTGCCGCCTATTCCTTTTTCATCTGCGAACTGAATCGGTAGGGCCAGCGTGTAGATATTCCAGCGAAATCCAACTGTGGCCGGCACATGTGAGGATTCACCGCAGAGGACGCAGACATGTTTTCATTCGAATAGTCCACGAGGAGAGTCACTCACTCCCTGTCTCAACCGTTTTCGCTCGACTCGTCGAGAACGATATGTTTCAAAGCATGCTCCGATCACAGGACCCCTGCCGCGGCTTTTACCAGTGTCTCGGAAGGATTCATTGAGCGAATTTCATGACGCTTCCACCATCAATTTATATGACCAGCTTCTTTAATCCGTGATGCTATATGCGGAAGGTAGCGAAGGTCGTCGACTCTGCGGTTCCCCGTGGCAGTTTAGAAAAAAATCCGACGCTTAAACATCCGTCTCCGCCTGAAAATGGCAGCATACGGCGTAGCTCTTGATGACGTATGGACGGCCTTGAAGAGCAAGAAACGGACGTAGTTGCAACGTACGCCCGTCCCGTCGACATGCTCATCCGCAAATCAAGCTAAAGTTCATGGAGCAAACTACAGACGCACTCGTGTAAACCTCGACGAGTCTTCAGCAAGGCGTATAATTACGAAAGGTTCAAAGTCGATAACCATAAAGAAGTTTCACACTCTGCCCTGGAGGGAATACATCTGGTCGCTAGGTACCTCCGAATGCGGATAAACGTGGCCACGACTCTCGATGAGCGTTTCATGGCTTTGTGTCGGAACAATCAAGTTTGGCCAGGGACGTCCGGGCAGAAATAAAATCTCCACCGGCACTTCTTACCGGATACTCCGACGCAAAATCCATGGAATATCCGAACGCGAGACGCAACGTTGTGAATTGCGGTCGCTACTCCGTGCCTTCGAAACTCAAAATTCGACTCCGAAGACTCCGTGTTTGAGCCGCATCGGGTGCTGGAGGGCACCGGAGGAGTCGCAGTTCGCGGCTTCGCCTAGGATTATGATGTTCCAGCTTGTTTGCTCAGCTTTTCTCTCTAAGGCTCTAAGCGGCCGAATACGGGTCCCTCGGCGATTCGGAACCACCGACCAATCGAAATCGCACTGGAAACCAATTTCTCTGACGGAGATTTCTCCGGAGCTGATGATTGATTGATTGAATTGCGACGAGATTCTTCGCCCCCTCGCTTTCTAAGAACGAATCATTCTGCTGGGAGGAATGCCCGCGGATCGGATGGAAATTCAGGAGGACAAATCATGGAACGGCTGCATTCTTTATCGCAATATCGCTATCTCTTGTCAGCGAAGCGGTGCTGACGCGGTCGTCGAAGCGATATACTGCAAGCCGTATGTGCGCAGTCAGACCCAGAGTGGAAGTCAAGCCGTGTGGAGCATTGGAAGCGCATTGCGTCGCGTCAACTTCCAGCTATACTGCTCACGTTCTACTTGATTAGAGGATCTTTCTTTCTCTAAGGACAAGGTCACGAACATTCGTGCGAGAAATTGATACGGGAGAATCCTCGCAGCTGTAGCCGCCAGAGTTCGATCTCCGGTCTAAGATTGCGTCTCGATGGCTTTTTGTCTCATCTTGGAGACCGATTCAGCAGCGATCCGCATGCGGCCGAAAATTTCAACGTCGCGTAAGAGAGGCCCGATCAAGCGATACATCTGCCACGGATCGAAATGCATGCTCTCGATTGTCGAGAGCAGGACTCCCGTCCTGGGACCTTAGCCAGACGTCGCATCCCAGGGATACACATTATTCGGACTCAGAAATGGGATAAGTCGACATTCGGCATGATCGAGAGCCGTGAAGGGAAAGAAGTTTGTTGAACAACTGCGTGACGATATAATTTACACTGGCTATTGTTGCCACAGTCGCTCATCGGTCTCTCTGTGTCGCTCGCATCGAGAGGCAGAGCTCTTTCGGCTCGGAGCTCTCTCGAATTCCCGAATATCTCGTTCCGACGAAGCATGACTTTCAATACATCAACGACTCAGATACCGCCGCACGGAACTCGCTTCCGACACATGGAAATAAGTCTGTCATTCCGCTGTAATGACTATCGCGGAACCAAGCTCGCTAATCGATTGCTCTTGAAGCGTTTCCGTGGACTATTCTCCACGGCAGTAACCGACTCACTGACTGCTGTAATTCATTCTCACAGAGCTGAAACATGACTCACCATTCGCTCGGGTCGCATTCCCATGCGAACCATGTTGGCGTGCCATTGATGGTACTGTAGATGGAAGGCGTGCAACTTCGCCAGCGGAGAAACGGGATGAAGTCTTCTCGGGAGGCAAGGCACAAGCGGATGCGGCAGAGACCGGAAAACGTCCCTGGGATTGAGCATGGCAGCTCGATTCGAGCTTGACGATTCGCACAAGAATCTAGCTTCAGCTTTCCCACCGTAAAAACCAAAAGATGATGTCCGAGCGCTGTATTCGCTCTATTACTCTTTTTCCTCCGTACGGAGAACGCTCAAGAACCGCAGAGATACTCCTGCTCGGTCTTCTCAGCCCCCATGCGATTTCCGGAAATTTTGGGGCAAGAGAAGGCAGATCTTCGAAAAGCACTTTGGTGATTTTCTAGTCCTTATAGTTGTCGGATCACGACGTTCTCTCTGATTGGCATCCCTCTTGGTGAGCGCGAGTTTTCGGATGTCACTCGATTTTCACCGATCGCAAGCGCCGTTTGCGCTGTATTCGAGTGGGCGCTGAGAAGTCCCTCGGACGTTGCTTTCCAATCGGACAGCTTGTTCAATGGAGAGAACGTTACCGGATCAACGTCGTTGCTGGCCTGCGACCAGACTACGGATCGACGAGCTGACGGGGAACAAGAATCGAAGCACAAGTAGATCTCCAGCCGGTCGAGAAGGAACAGCGAAACTGCTGAGCGACGAGGTCACTTCACAACAGGTCTCAGATTTGATTACGATCCGATTTTCCCGGGGGACGCGGTCCCCTGATTCCCCCGAGCGTTTCCTCTCGAATCGGCGAGGCTGAGTGCGTATTCGATCGGGACAGAAGTTCCACGAAAATCACAAAGATCGCCAGTGGCTGGAAGCGAATCCACGGCAACACTCCTCGAAGAAACTACCAGCTGCTTGTCTGACTGACTGGCTGAGTGACTGACTGACTGACTAGCTGGCTCTCTTGCTTGCTTGGACTGGCTTCCCTAGACTAGCAGAACGGGCCGCTATGCACCTAGACACAACGCTCCTAGGCTCCTACAGAGCGCCGCCGAGGACCAGTCCAGTCGAACGTGGCCACTCGCTCAGCTGTCAGAGCACTCCGTCCGAATTCGTCGATTCCAGTGGCAAGAAGAGATTCGTTTTCGGAGTGAGCTAGAGTACGATTATTGGGGACGATCTGCTCAGGCGTCGAATATCGAATACCATGATACAGCTCGCTAGATTCCTCACATCGAAGACCTCCCCACAGACTTGCGCTCACAGAAACAACGCCGACACTTACCTCTTCGAATTCGATTGATGCTCGAAAGAGCGCACAGTAGTGCAAGTGGCCGTGACGTCGGCGTAAGACGCCCTCTGCTTGAGTTATGGTAACGGCGGCGGCTCGGCAGGTCGATCGGTAGCTAATGATGTATTTTTCCTGGAAGATCATCAAAGCTAAGTCACTCGGAGGGTTTCTCTCGGATTGATGTTCCTGTTGAAGACTTAAAGGTCATCGGCCCTGTCGGGAGAGAAAATTCCAAGGACAGCTCGAGGTCTCACCGAGCGAATGTGAATTAAGTGAGCCTGGACGATCGAGAGCGAGATATCGAATAATTCCACTGAGGAGTCCCTCGTTGATGGCATCGGGATACAGATCCGCCGTTCGATAGGATATATTTGAGTGAGCCGTTCACGAGTGAGATTGGCGGAAGTAATCGGCGAGGTCAACTCCCTAGAATCTTAGAATAACAATGCACGAATATGATCGGAATACCAAACGGATCCTTCTTTGACTTGGAGTTCGAACGAGCTGCCTCGACGGCATGGTGGAATGAGGGTAAGCATTCACATGAGCTCTCGTTATGCTGCAACGATTTTCCCATCTTCGCAAAAGGAAATACTGAAGTGACGTTTGTTTCGGGGGACTCAGAAGCCAGCATACGATGCGAACCCTTCTATCGTCGTCGGAAGCTAACGAGAACCTGCTGTGAGCTGATTTGAATGACGTTTGTTGTATGAATTCCCGATCCGTTGAGTTTATTTCGTGTGACGCCGGGACGGAGATCGGGAGAGGCTTCCCGTCGTCTTCATCATCAATACTCTAACCCCGTTCGCCCATTCGGGACTGTTTCGTGCCTTCTCGCCTGGGCTCTCGGGATATTCCAGAGGATAGACGAAAGTCCTGGACGGTACTTCTCCCATGCACGAGCTTCATCGAGACGCGTTCATGGCCGGTCACGCTTGTGAATGAGCCCTCCATATATCAGAAGGTTCAATGGCCTTTTCGCAAGGTGATCGAAAGGCCTATAATTAATGAGTGGGCTCAGAGCTGAGGTTCGGAAGCGTCTCGTTCACTTCAAAGGGTCTATCGAGCCTCCGTTCCGTGGGTCAGAATCCCTGAGGCATTTATTATAATCAGTATGTGTATATTCATCTGGGGGTCTTGCGCTTCGTGGCTAGGGACCCCGAGAACGCCGGAGAAGAGAAAGACGGATGAATATCGTCCCCTGTGATAGGATAAAAGAGAATCATTGATCCGGGAAGTCCCGGGACCCGATTCCTGATTCGAGTGTTCCTGATTTCCTGTGCCTGATTCCTACGCCTGATTCCTACGCCTGATTCCTACGCCTGATTCCTACGCCTGATTCCTGTGCCTGATTCCTATGCCTGATTTCCCTCTGGATTGGACTGTCTGGACTGGCCCTGGCTCTCTTCCACACTCTTACAATGGCCTTCTCGATGGTCCGGACCTTCGTCTCGAAAGAGTCAAAAGGCCACGTGAGCATTATTTGGACAGCTTGCAATCGGATTCGGCGCCGCGAGCAGGATAGCGCTTCTCCCACGGCGTTGTGACAGATTATTGTCTGGGACATTACGCAAACACCCTCCACGGCGGTGAAGGTGCCACCAGGAGCTGACAGAAATCCCCGTCTAGAACAAGCATCAGGACTATCTGATTCGGAGCTTCCGGAATATGTGAGCTCGATAGCGTTCTCCATACAGAAACTCTCTTTCAGGCTAGCGGACGCGAGGCGGCATTTGCAATCACGCATATAATTTCTGGCATCCAAATGGCTATCTCCAGGCTTCAGAGTTCTTTTCTTTCCCACTTGATTTCACTGAGCTCATAGGGAACAATTCCTGCAGTGAAACGTGAAAGGCTCCTCGTATAGGACCGGGCCGCATAGGCGAATCGGACTTGGAGCAATACTCAGGTATCGTCGCTGAGCAGCTCCTCGCGCATTGGTACGGATGAATGGATATCGATGTATCGATTGACGAACTATCAAACCAGATTCACTGGAGGGAGCGACCCGGTTCTTTCTCCACTCCAACAGTGCGGGGTATTTGTACCGTATGGCCCGCTCAATCCACCTGCCGCGTGACCAATCGGTGCGATCTGGGAGCGTCATATGCTCATTGTCGGACCCGAGCTACTGAGAGGGAAAACGTTTCCGAATGGGCTCCTCCTGGCCCAGAAACATCGGCGGCTCCGACTTCCACACTCACATCCTCGCCCGCGAAACAAGTACGATAAGGGGCACCGCTTCCATTTCGTCAAATTACAAGGTGGGGCAGTATATTCTCCCCATTTTGTTTTGCTCATGGAATCCGAACCATGAGGGCTAGCGAAGTTCTGTTTACGACGAAATGTTAAGGAGGACTCGCCCTGTCCGGAAAAAAATCATTTGGTCCGTCATCTCCAAGCTGGAGAACAAGGATCCGCCGGAAAGCGAGGAAAATGGGTTTTCCCGCAGAAATCAATACCGAGCTTTATGAGGATGACGTTAACGGAACTTCAAAAAGTCAACTTTGAACGTTTACCCGGTGAGGAGTCTCGGACCAGAGGGTTTTTTTCTGAAACTGCAAATCCTCGTGGTCATTCTAATGCAAACAGAATTCCGCTTGCCGCCTTGGCTCGTATTTCATGGGGATCATTCAAAATGGGGAATTTATACTGCCCCACCCTGTAGGTTATCCGGATTAGGGATTTCATCTCGGTCGCCGACATAATGCGCAATTTCCGGCGTTTATCCGCCCGGATGCATCTGCGCTTCGAATGCTTCCCAAAATGCAATCAACACGAACTGGAACATCAAATGGGAATTGTCATCGGATTTGAAATTTCCCACGCCAGAATCTAGAACGGTGCGCATCTCATGTGTCCGATTTTTATCCATCACAAGCGCGATTCTCGAAATCAGGCTCGGTTTAGGAGGACCCAATGGGGGTAAGAGTCGAGCGAATCAATCGTCGAAACGAATTCAGAAACGGAATTCCCTCACTGTTGCAGCTTGTCGCATCCCGTGGATGGTGGTAGCATGCTGAGACCATACAGGGGTCTTCAAGCAGATGGTCGGAACGAAACTAAGATTTTCCCTCTAATCTTGGCTGGACCAGTGATGCGCATGCGTGCCTCTGAAGACAACGATGGGCTCATGTTGCTTATCATTGTTCGACAAGTGCAGACGGAAATATCGTACCACTGAGGCACGACTCGACTGTCTGAGGCACCGTCCGAAGCCGGAATCTTACGGAATCGCGCCACTCTCCGAGGAAGAAAAGATAGCGTATCGAGAGACTCACAAGAATTATCTCGTAAGAGCGAAACAGCTCGTCGAATTGAAGCTTGGAGCAAACAGCTGTCCGAGAGTAGACATTGAAAATTTTTCCATAAGCGGGAGTTTGGGCAGAGGATCCTTCGGTCTCGTGGTCCTCGGCAGGTACAACGAGACCGGAGTGGATTACGCAATCAAAATTCAACGAAAAGCGGAAATCGAGCGCGCGCGCAGGATCGCTGAGACGGTCCAGGAGAAAAACATCCTATACGCGGCGGCGAGCGACTTCGTAATTCGTTTGGAGTTCGTTTCTCAAGACACATCGAATCTGTACATGATAATGGATTATTCGAGCTACGGTGATCTGAGTCGTTGCACGGTCGACAACCCCGCATGGACCCCGACGGAGGCGGGCGTCAAACTGTGGATGGCTCAAATCGCTCTCGGTTTGGAGTATCTGCATAACTCGGATATCGCGCTGCGCGATCTCAAACCAGAAAACTGTATAATGTTCGCGGATGGATATCTCAAGCTGAGTGATTTCGGCGTCGCGAAAATAGTTCACAGCAGCACATACACAATGTGCGGTACGTTGGCATACATAGCGCCAGAAGTTATGCTGAAGAAGGGGCATCGGACAGCCGTTGATTGGTGGGCTTTCGGTGTGATCCTCAGCGAGTTGATGCAGAAAAAAAGGCTGTTCTCGAAGTCGGTCAATGGAATCCTCGGCGACATCGCAACGCAGGAGAGAATCTTAAGCAGTCCTGTCAGATCGCTTATCCAGCAGCTTCTGCAAATACCACCGGAACGGCGGCTCGGTAATTTGCCTGGCAAGGCCGAAGATGTGAAGGAGCATCCCTGGTTCGAAGACATAAATTTCCAGGACGTTTTGACGAAGCAATACAGAATAGCGCTCACATGCGAACCATTCGCTCCTAAAGAGGTGGATCACAGGACGATTTTCGGGGACGAACGAACGGAAGACCCTCACCGAAAGGCTTACGAAGGCTTCTGAATAAAACGAAATTCCTCCTGATTCAAGGTCGGTCGATCCGGCTGAGACTCCATCGCAGAGGATCAGTTCAGGACCCGGAACATGAACGCCGTCATCGCGTCGGCTGTGAGCTGTGAGGTGTGAGGCCATTCGGGAATTAGAGTTCATTTCGACTACCCTGGGTCGTGTCCGAAATCCGAGATACGAAGCCGATTCGGTGCTCCTGCGATTCCCTTTCTTCCGGGTCGCGCATGGTTCAGCCGGAACCTTCCCCTTCCCCCTCCCGTTGAGACTGAGGTGAATGGATGAGAGTCTCAGGAGAACGACTCCCGTGACTCATTCATGCGAAGATAACGATGGGTTCGGTTCTTTCCACCTTGTCAGATTATCCGGGCAAGGTCCTTGAGGCATGTCAGCGATTTGTTCCGTCTCCCCTTCACGGCGATGAAGCGCCCCCGAGCATCGAGCAGAAGACAAGCTACCGTCAGATCGATGGAGGATCAACTCGAGGAGCATACGAACAATATATCAAATCCAGGGAGAGAGATGTTCTCGCCAAATTGAACAAATGTACTTGTCCGAAAGTGAATATAGACGATTTCAGGCTTGGGAAGAAACTGAATGAGGGCTCTTTCGGGGTCGTCGCCATCGGCAGATATGTAAAGGATGACGTAGTGTACGCGATCAAAATTCAACGCAAAGCCAAAATCGCTGAAGAAAACCGATACGCCGACGTTCTCCGGGAGAAAGAAGTTCACTTCGCGTCAGCGAGCGCTTACGTAGTCGAGCTAAAGTTCGTTGCCCAGAACGAGGAAAATGTTTTCCTGATCATGGAATTATCGCCCTACGGTGATATGGACAGATGCGTTGTCCGTAACGCCGACTGGCTCCCGAACGAGGCGGAAGCGAAGATCTACGCGGGTCAGATCGTTCTCGGTCTACAGTTCCTCCACCGATTCAATATTCTGTTCCGCGATCTCAAGCCGGCCAACATTCTCGTCTTCCCGGAGGGCCTCCTCAAACTTGGGGACTTCGGCTTAGCGAGATTCTCCCTAGGTAGAGCTTACACTTATTGCGGTACTCTTGCCTACATGGCGCCCGAAATGATCCAGAGGAAGCCTTACAGAACGGCCATCGATTGGTGGGCGTTCGGTGTCTTACTATACGAAATGCTGCACGAACTCCTCCCCTTCAAAGCCGAGCCAGGGGCTCGTAATCGCGATGAGAGTCTCGGGGAGAGAATAATCGACGGGAAATTCGTATTCCATGCTGAACGCGACTTGAGCGAACATGTCAGAAGTTTGATCGAGCACCTACTCAACACGAATCCCAACAGGCGTCTCGGAAACCTGGCAGGCGGAGTGGAGGACATCAAAGGACACCCATGGTTCGAGGACATCGACTTCGATGATTTGTTCCGCGGGAAATACAAGCTGAAAGTTTCTTCTCAACCGATCAAAGCGCAAGAGGCGAACCGCTTTGAGCTCTTCGGGGAGCAGCGCCCAAAATCTCAAAAAGTCGTCGAATTCGAGGGATTTTGATCCAGTGGTGTCTAAAGGGAACCCGCAGACCGATACCCCCGGTTCTCGATTGGCCGCTTCGGGCTCTATGTGACTCTCGCATGTCGAGCCGCTCCGTTTACCAGCGCGTGTTCCATCTAGAGAAGGATTATTGTTCTCGACATTCCGAGAGCCACCCTAATAAAGTCACCTGAGGGTTCCAATGCCTCGGTAGGAATGAAACGCCCTCTGGGAAGAAGGATATGAATGACGATTCCGAAGAGGGTCCCGGCGCCAGCGGGAGAGCCAGAGTTCGCTCCCGCTCGCCCTGACGACTTCCCACGTTCTCCGATTCCGAGAACGCCACGGATTGAAACTGCCATCGATCCGGGAACGGGTCATGAACGTTCGCTCTCGAAGCCCAGCTTGACAAATACGTCGATACACCACGTCAAGCAACCTCAGACTCGTTGGGATGTTTTCCGGAGCTCCTCGAGATTGCGCAAGATTGAGGATTAGGTCTCAAGGGCTTCTAGCTGCAAACGGAGAATGCGCAAGAAGATGACTAATTTGGGTGCTCAGCTTCGCTTTTATTCTCTCGTTCTATTCAGTCTGTCTCCATCCCCGAGTGATATCATGCGTCTTGGCATCCAGCGGGGAGCTTCGGATTCACGCTGTCCGGCCAGTTGCAAACCTTGAGATTGTAGTCGAAGATAAGTCCTGGCGGACACGGCATCTCGATCGGCTGCCCGTTTACGCACCGGATGTATCTGCTGCATTGGGAGGCGTGAGGGATGTATTCCTCTCCGGAGCTGCAGTCGGGAGTGGGTCCGGGATTGGGATTCGGGGTCGGTTTGGGTTGCGGGCACGCGGTTGTGCTGCGAACAAAAACTCATTACTGACTGAAGGACCCAGACTCGATTCACTTTCGGTTTTCCTCGATCGGAACTCACGGATCGGGTTTCGGAGAAGGGGTCACGACGTCTTCATCCTCGTCATCGTCCTCGTCCTTGCCATCGTCAGAGTTCCCTCCGAGTCCTTTAGAAACAGCATTCGCGAGAGGGAACTTCCCTCCGCCACAAACGCCCGACTGATCATCGAGCTCGATCGCCCAGACCATGGCGCCTGCGAAGCCTTCTTTATTGATGAGATCGGTCTTGTGTTTGATACCTTCGACATCTTCGTATCCCACCCATTGGTTCTCTCCGAAAGCGTAGGGACCCTTGGTCGCGTCGTCGAAAACTCGTTTCCACCCTCGTTTGCTGATTCTTTCGCAGATTTCGTAGTAGAAAAGGGTTCCTCCTTCCTGGGATACTTCGCCAGCTTGGCCGGCGCTGGCGGGAGCGCCGATACCGTTGTTCGAGGGATTTTGGAGGGTGAAGGATTTACCGTAGAAAGCGAAGCCCATGATCAATTTGTTCGCGGGAGCCCCGGCCTTGCGCCAAGCTTGCATTACTTGAGACTGTAACACCGAAGTCGAATTGGGTGCGGGGACCATTAGCGATAATATCCATCGCACCAATTATTATTTCACATGAATCGAGGGAAAAGACGGAGAATCGCTCGTACGGGACAGATCACGCTTGAACATCTCGTCCTTCGTCTCCGTCAAGAGAGCCACTACTTATCGAGTATCGAAGCCGTCAAACTCACCACGCTGATGCCGTTTCCGTACAGACCCACGTGGTTCCCCGTAGCCTGGTCCCACGGACCACGGAGATCGTAGGACATGACGTTTATGTAGTCGACGGTTTTGGCGATGTTTGGAACATCGTAACCCCCATCGATCCTGTATTGGGGTCCAGCGACGGCGATAGTCAAAAGTTTCCCCGGAAGAGCTTCACGGAGTTTTTTGAGGAGAGTTATCAGGTTCGCCTTGTCTGAGGGACTGCCCCCTCGATCGGTCGCTCCGGGGAATTCCCAGTCGAGATCGAAACCATCGAGCTCATACTTCTTCACGAAATCCTTCACGGAAGCGACGAACTTGTCGATGCTTGCGGTGTTGCTCACCAGACGGGAATACTTCGCGGCCCCCTCACCCCAGCCTCCGATGGCGGCGATGACTTTGAGGGCTGAGTTCTTCTGCTTGAGAGCTCGGAGCGCACGGAGATCGCTGTCCATTCTCTCGCTATCCAGCGGCTTGACGGTGTTGCTGTTCTCGTCCAAGCCCACGAAGGAATAGATGACATGGGTGCAGAGATTCACCGGGATCTTGTCGATTGTACCCTTGTGAGGATCGGCCCGGTACCTGGAGTTGATAGAGATTGCGGAGCGGATCCCGGAACAGGGAGGGAAGGTCAAAAGGGAACAATCCGGCGATTGACTTCGACTCACACTCCCCAGAACTCCCAATAGCACAGGAAAGGCTTCGCAGCGACTGCGCTGCCGACGAGGGCGAGCAACGCCGAGAGAATCAGCGAAGTTTTCATCTCGCAACACGGAGGACGACTGAGAAGCTGTAAAGAATGAATGTAGTCTTATGTCTCTTCCAGAAGTCAGACAGTCCTGAGTCAGATACGCATTTCTCCTCGATTGTCCATTATACTGAGCCGAGATCGCCTCGAACCGTCGCCGCAAAGGTCAGCTGAGTATAGAGAAGAAGATTGATGTTTTCGATAGGGTCATTGTTGCTCATTCGGTAGTCTGCGTCGCAGAGCGGGTCCCCGAAGTGAGTTTGTTGGGAAGAGCTCGAGACCGAGACGTGTCCTTGGATGGCCAGCTGTTGTGATATGAGACATTCCCTGGAGGAACGCCCACCGGTGGTTCGGCCAGGGATTTCGTCCGTAAGGCCTACTCCGCCGCGAACAAAAATGTGAGTCCCGCTTTCCAGGAATGAATTTCCGGTGAGTAGAATCCTCAAAGCTATTTATTGGCATCGCTTAGGGGCATTCACAAATTCTACACGGAATCCCCGGATCCCCGACAAATGATGGATCTGTTAAATAGGGAGGAAATACGGGGGCCTCCCCGAGCAGGTATTTTTGTGCCGACCATCGCGACGGTCCTCAGAGTTCCGTGTAGACCGGTCCAGACGACCTCGTCTTGTCCGATCTGTCCTTGGGAGAACCGTAATCCATCCCTGACGGCGATCTCTCTCTATCATCGTATTCATCGTCTCTCATTCTGGGCTGATCCCGGAAACTCGTATCTCCAAACCCGCCCCCGGGTCCTGCTTCCCTGAATCCCCCATCTCCGTTAGCCGCATCCCTGAAAATCGATCGCGCCGCTTCCGAAATTTCCCCAATGTCTCTGAAGCGGTAGCAGTTGTCGAATTTTCTCTCGATAACGTTTGCCAGCACTCGGTGGAGAAATTCAGCGTTCGGAACCTTTCTAGTGGCCGTTGATGCCTGAAACGAGGTGAATCCTGAATGGATCGAAGCGATTATCAATGAATCACTCCCAAGCAATAATTAATTGATCATGTAGCGGGGTCCGCTCTCCGGAAAACACTGGAGGCCGAGCTCGATCGCTGAGGGTGACGGCTCTCTGAGGAAAAGGCAGATTACAGTTGAATGCCGAAAATTACGAACCGTTCGTATGAGTTCGAGAATACTCCGACGCTTCACGCTGTAGATCATCACGTTCTGCTGGTCACGGTTCGAATATTCTACTTGGAGCTTTATGGGAAATCGATCCGGGAACGGAATCTCGTATTCTCTGCGGTTACTATAGAAGCTGTACGAGAAGGATCCTTTTGGCAGGAAGCCTGTGATCTCGCAAACGCTCTGATCGCAGAGAATCGACCTTGGAGGGGGAAGAAAAAATTATTCGCTTATTCCCTCGCTAGTCGACCATATCCACAGACCCCTGGCTGGTTATAGAGGTCCGTTTTGCCTCAATCCGGAGATTTGGCTTCCCGGAAGACAAAGCGATTTCCGACTACTGAGAATAGCGTTCGAATCCAGTTCAAAGAAGCTGCCTGGGCGACTTACAGATGTTTCCGGTATTGCTGGAACATCCTCCCCAGATCTCTCATCTCCAGTTGGAATTCAGGGCTCCGAGATCCGCCGCCGCACTCGCACATTTTCACGAAGCCTTGAAAAGCCGTGGAACGCACTCGACAGTCTGCCACGGTGATGCTCAGAGGAGACAAGCCGAATTTTCTCATATGCTCCTGCAGGGCGAAATTCGCAAGATCCTGGAAGTTCGCCGAGTGTTTCCTGGGGCCTGCGAAAGCTCCGAGGAAAATCGAGTCCGGGCGCACCTGTGGATTGATCCGCACTCCGGTGCAGGCAATGCAACTCGGACACTTCCGACAGAAATTCAGCTGGGGATCTCTGAAGAGGCCCTGAGTGAGGAAATTCAAGTTGCTCAGCATGGGCATCGATCCGGTAGGCCCGTAATCTGGAGATCCGACTTCCGATCCACGCGGGCCGTCCAACATCGAAGGTCCTCCAAGGTTGGGGCCGTCGTTCCTGGCCTGCGCTGAGAAGGGCCTTCCCGGCGAAGGACCGTAAGGCGCCGGGTGATTTTCATTGTTGAAGTATTGGTTGTAGCTCGATTGGGCGAAAACTCCCGTAAGACGCCAGATACACCAGAACAAGAGCGCGATCATGCTGCTCATCTTGAGCTGTCCAGAGAAGGTCGTGCAAGATGGCAGACGAGAACCATCTTCGAAATCACATATTCTGCGACGTGATGATATAATTGCGGAATACTATTCGGACCCTCGCCGTTGGAATGACATCACTCACATTCCCCGACTCTGAGTGAACCCCGGTGGATTGAGTGTCCAGTCGGTCATAGGCCCCTGCCGATGTTCGGAGCATCCTGCTCCCGAAGAAGTAGAGCCCTCTAGGTGCTCAGTAGAGTCCGAAACACTAATTTTTTTGCCGATTGCTGATGATCGTGTGAGCTGGGCATTAGGGCAAACGATCACGGAAATCCGTGCCATTCGGAAGCTGATATCTGATATCGCATCGGGTACGCGGGGGCGGCTCGGAATTCGCTCAATGAGATCAGAGGAAGGATTCTGCAATTGAAAAGGAGGGGTACCCATCCCTACTGTTGTCGCTCTCTAAAAGCTCAATGTTCAGTCAATTCATTTGGAATCCTTCCAGGAAACCGGACCCCAGCAGATTCCAGCACGTGACTTTGATGGATCTCCAGAGCAATATCCAAAAGACTCAGACCGAAAATAACCTGTGTGGTCTCCATATGTCAATGGGACAAATCTCAACTGGAGCGACGCAGAGCGGTTTGCAATTGCTGGATTTTAATAATTATTACAGCAGCCCATAGTTCTCCCGCTTGGGCACGTATTCGGAGAACAGTCTTTTCTGGGAGACGAAGTCCACCCGGAAATTCATTCATTAGACTGCGTAGACGATGGAGTGTTCTTTCCTTTCTACGCTGCTTTTTTGAATCCTTTGACCGCCCTTCCCTCCGTCGAGAGAATGATTGAAATCGTCGAGATTCCGGATGTCGATTCGAGTTTGAGAGAGAAGTGGTATTTCCCGGTGACATCATAATTCGTGCGCGGAGAGACTTCTACTATCTTTGGGAATCCCCGCGAAAGAGGCTTATGAGAGGGAGCTCGACGACAGGTTCTCCCACGCTCTCCGAATCCACCTGGGATGCCACGCCTGCTTGGCATTGACGTGAGCTGACGCTCGGAACTTCCATGATTCACACGAGACAAGGTCTCTCAATCAGAGACCTCGATCTAGACTCAGGTCCCGCTGGATTTCTTCGCCTCAACGTCCTCGGAACGATGTCCAGGCTTCCTCTTCAAGGAATATCGGAGCGGACTTCGGGAGCCAGCTCGCTCATTCGACCGCCCGCTCATCTGACTGAGTCCCGCTGGCGATACTCGTCGTGGTAAGGGTGCACACGGCAGCCGCGAGCGACCATGATGCGAGCGCCCCGGGAAACAACATTGAGCCCTTTCTTTTTTCCAAGAGCCAATAGCTTGCCCTCGCCTGCGCCGTCCCAGAACTCCGCATGATCACTCGCGTGTCAAAATATAGCTGGCAACCAGGCTGGCCACCAAAGACGGAACCTCGAAAGTTCTCCCTCTCCGTCGATCTCTCTGCACTGTATGCAGAGGAGGGAAGACTGTGAGGAAAAGAGAGAACAATCCGTGATTTGGGAGCCACACGGATAGACCCACTTAGTCAAGCAACAGTTTAAGGCCGTTGTTGTTGTTGTTGTTGTTGGGCAGTCTCTGCCGTTGTTGAATTTCTGACCATAGTTCTCCCAGCCGCTATCTTCGCCACGGTTTCTCTCCGGATCGGTTTTCTCCGACGAAAACCCCTGCATTTCAATGTTCCCCCCGCTGTTCTGAGGTCCGGGCTCGCGTTCGGCAGGCTACCGTAGTGAAGAGGTGAGAAACGTCTCCGATACCCTGGACGGTTCAGGGAAAAAAAATTGTTCCGCGACCGGACCCTCTGTGCTTGAGGGCTTCGAAGCGGATTTTCCTCCTTGACGTCCGTGTGCTGTAGTTTCGAAAGATTAAGTCACCGTTGTCTCACGGTGACTTTGACTTCCGTCTCGCAGAGCCCAGATGTCAAATTTCTCATTCGGCTGGCTACGATCACGAATGTTTGAACTTAGTCTCTCAGAGCTTCCACAAAAGATGGAAATAAAATATATGCGTCCATTGGAAGTTGTGGACTTTTGTCTATTCATCGTTAATACGTGGTGTCGAGTTCTGTGAGAAAAATTTCTGCAGATTTGGAGCTAAATCCCGTGGACCAAACATGACTATTCCCTGCATGAAGAGCGCGATCCCCAAAGACTTCGGCCTCGGGGGATCGGACAATGATGCTGAGTGGCGCCGAGATTCGCGTCCTCGGTTTCAGCCACTCATGGGAACTCTTGGTTCATTACAGGAAGCGGCGAGTGTTTTAGCAAATGGATATTTTGCTGTGTCCAGCTTGCGAGCAAAAATTTTCGCCAATTGTCCGTCGGCCCTTGATCCTCTCCTGTGGACATACTCTTTGTCAACTCTGTCTAGAACGGCACCGGAAAAATTGTGAAAATGGTGATCAAGACGTCGTTAGTGAGAACACGGTCATCCTCCAGATGCTGGGGGAAGGCTTGGAGCCTGGCGAGGCAGGTGAGTTCCTTATCGTCTCGAGAATGTTCGCCGTTTCGGGGCTTGAGCCGATAACGTTTCCGAACCTGAGAAAACTCTGGGGATTTCGACTTGAGGGAACGAATTCCAGATTACTCCATTACTCTGGCCTATCAACAAATCTGCTCTTTCGCGACCATGACACGAGCTGGAGGCAATACAGCACCGATTCCCAACCTGAGTCGACCGATGCAGCGGAAACTACTTGCCCTGGTCAACTCGAACCTCGATGATCAGTTCGGGCGGCAGAAGGTGAGAGGATATCTCGTATCGGAAGCTCCTTGTCTATGAGGAAGAAAACTCGTGAAATTTTCTTTATTTATGGTCTTTGGTATTTATTCATTCCATTACTCGGTCAGATGGGTGCTTCACTGTATTGCTTCACCGTATCGATGGAATCGCTACGAAGAAACGTATTTTTCTCTTCTAGGCACTCAAAGCCGCTCGGTCATTGGCAGAGCGATCACTTGTAGAGATCATCCTAGAACAACAATCTTCGGGTCAGCTCACCGCTTCCCTCTGGGCCGCTGTTCGCGCCCGCGGCTGCCAATTCCTCGGTCCTGCTATGCAGGAAGAGGTATTGAGACTCGTGCTTCTGGCTCTGGAAGACGGTTCGGCCCTCTCGCGGAAGGTAAACGGCCGGAGAGATCATAAATTTCAGGGATGAATAAATCAGATCGCGCGGAGTCTCAGTGTCGATTTCCTCTCCTTCTGCCAGAGCCTGAAATCTTGCCCATGCTTCCAGGTATTGGTGATGTTTGTAGTCCAACGATTATCGGTCATATTTCCACACGCCTCGAAAACTTCGATCGGACATGTTGTTCAACTGCTGTACCGTGCTTCGTGTTTCGTGGTGGCCAAGCGAGATGGTGACTCTTCATTGATGCAACTCAAGGAGGTTCGTGCCGTCCAGAACCGGATTCAGTGGCGTCTAAGCTGGGGTGAAACACCGATGGCCAGCTCCGGATTCTTATGGCGCTCGGTTCGATACCTGGGACCCGGGATAGACTCAGAGCAATAATTAAGCATTCATCGGGAACTCCGAATAGTTTTTCACCCGTACGGATTCCAGGAGTTCCGGACGTACGAGGCGCTGAGACGAGAGCACGATACGCAAATCGTTCAAATCGCCTGCGAGGCTGGACTTCGCATCGCTCCCGAACAATGGTCGAGTTTGCTATACGGAGACAGTACGCATCGATCGCATATGCAGAGCATCATCGACAAACTCCAGTCCCCCCAAACGTTGGAGCAAACTTCGAAAGAACTCATGTCTCTCGCCGCCCGAGGCAACTACGGCCTCACATCACTCCTCCACGTCATCCAGCAGCCGATTAAGGTTCGTGGCGGGCCAATGACCCCCCTGGGGCTCAGGGGTGGGAGTCTTTGCCCACCGCGATTCAGATAAGAATTTCCGATATCCGATGCATCTTGATCCCCGCGTGGATATCCGACGAGGACTCTAAATTTTTCGTGATTTCCCTTCCGAACAGATTCTTGAGTGGAACGTCGAGAAAATGGCGTCATCCGGAAAATCTGTCCTCGATTTCATCACGGCAGCCTTGACTGTCGTGGACTGTTGCCTCCAATTGATGCAGCATAAGAACCAGATTCCAATTCAGCAAGCTACTCTCGCCCATACGGCTTATAAATACAGGGTGAATGATTTTGAGAACTCGGGATAACCGTCCAATGAGAATCCCTCGCGGTTCATCTCATGTAGAGAAAAACTCAACTCGATATTCTCTCTTCCAGGTTAATCTCTGCAGAGATATGAACAATTTCGGGGGCTGCCCCAGAGGGAGCGCATGTACTTTCGCTCATTCTCTCAGAGAACAAGAACATTTTAGAATGATGAGTAAATCCCATCCTTTGTCACAAGTCAGTCATCACGACGGTCACTGATGCAGGAGTTGGATATCCTCAGAGTCTGAATCGACCTCCACTAAGTAGTCTCGTATGTTCCGCCCCGAGCACCGGACGTCTGAGAGCCGAGCCGCAAACCGCGTCGCAGATCTAGGAGTCGAAGCCTCCTTCAGGCAACGCTCATAGTAGTGACGCTACAAGAAACAACACGGCAGGAGAGCGGAACTTGAAGGAATTTCCCGCAAGAAACGAGAGAGGGGCCTCCGAAAACTCACCGGCTCCCGAGATATTCGCGGTGGCCTCATTGGCCGCTAGCCGAGACTGTGACCTATAGGAGAAAAGAAATTATCTAGTTGATACCGACCGAGCGAGATGAAATCTCGATTGTGCCCACCTCACCCTTTCTCTCCGGCGGAGACTTTTCAAGGGCGAGGAGCGGTCGGAGCATGAAATGCCAAAGTCGACCATATGCGGTTGAGACGTAGCCCCTATGTCCCGTTGATATTCGTTCAATTCTCATCGAAACCCTCGAAGCAAGCGAGCCTTCTTGGCGAAAATCTACGATTGCCGTTTTCGCGACCCCTTCCGAAAACGGCCGTGAATTTTGCAACCGACGATTCACCAAATCTCCGAAGAGATTTCCGGACTCGGCCCCCTATTGCCCTCACCATTATTTACTCCTCGATGAGGTGTCGAAGATCTCTTTGACGAATACACTCCCTCACACCGATGCTACGAATTCGATATCGATCGCTGCATTTTCAATTTTCTCCGCGGGGATCGATCTGTAGTTGTAAACATCGAAATTGGTAATAGTCCATTGATGGAACAATTACCTTACTAACAATCGCCTCATTCAAATATTGAGTCTAAGACGTTTATACGGAGGAGCGTTTTCTATTGTCACCTAATATTCAGCTGATCGCCTCGATTTTCAAATGAGGTGGATGTTGTTTCCTTTCGAGCCCCACTTTCGGGCGAGTCAATGGCTCTATGTTAGAGAGGCTCCGCTAGCAAACTCAGCTGGTGAGTAAGCGAACTGGACAGGTGACAAGTTTTCCGTGTCACAGATTGCCTTGTTATCGAGTGTCGTCGGATACATATTGTGTCCCCGAGCATTCTAATCCAAGTTGAAACCTACCGGATTGTTCTTCTTCTTCTTCTTCTCCTCTGATCATTACTCCACTAGTTAGCAATTGACCGATGATAAGCAATCTATCGGGAATTCAAACTTCTGGATATACTATCCTGATAATCGTTAGATACTTGTTATCCCTTCTCTACACTCTCGGATCTACGATACAGTGGTCGAGAGCATTTAGAGGAATACGATCCCAATGTGTTGATTCGCAACCAGCGCTCTGGCGCGATCGGCACGCATTGTTATCGACTAGTTTGTTTATAGGACGATATTGTCCGCTGGTGTTACTACATGTCATACGTGTTATACTCAATGTTGCATCTGTTGTTAGATCTACAGGACGAACTGTAGAGACCTGCATCAGAGGGAGCGTTGCATCTCGTTGGATGCCTAACTCGTTCGAACTGCTTGTGTTTCCCACAGACGACGTTGTAGACAACGAACCGTGAGGGAGCCGGAAACGAGTCCGTCACGAGCGTTGCTTCCGATCTCTCCGAGAAGGATGGAGATCGACACACTTACATACATAGATCTCCATCAGCTCTTTTTGGAATCGATGGTGCTTTCGTCATTTCGCTGCTCGGCAGTCGGCAGTCGTGGAAAATGTTATGAATTGTTGAAGGCCTTTTGTCGGGCAGTTCCGCGACGCTCTTGTTTGCTACGACTGTACGATTTCCTTCTTTCCTAGGACGCGGTGTATTTTTGCTATCGTGTATTCCAATCGATTTGCAAATCCGAACTACGAAGGTGATAGTCAGCGGTCCTATCTCTGAAAGAGCCGTCATTTGGAAAATGTTTTTTTTTCAAATCGGTCGTTCGATTGTTCCTCCCTTCGGCTGCTCGCATGATCGGGTGGGATTCTATTGGAGTCATATGTTTACGCGTGTCACGGGATACATGGAATATTTATTCAAAGTTTCTAGAAACGGAATTTGTTGACTGTTCACGGAGATCAACTCTTGGGAGCCGATATCCGATGCGCTGAGGGGCTTTTCGGATCAGCCATTTGAATCAGAGAACGTCATCGTCTCTCGGAAATTCCCCGGGGTTCGCCAACAGTGGGACAGAGATCGTTTCAACTTGAGTCGACGGAATTCACAGCGATTTCGCTCGGAGACGTGAGCTACATACCATTATTAACCACTGATTTTCACCTCACATAGGAAATGAGTGCAGGATACGATCGAGTCACATGACTCTTGTATTGAATCTATGATAGCTCTTTACTGAGTCCGTCAAACGGCTCAAAAAAAATAAAAATATCTGAAGAATACAATTTTGAGTGTTCGAGGATTGCTTAGTCCACTCTATCAGACACGCGGAATCGGGAGGCAGTCTACGATATCGCGGACGAAGGTTCAGTCGCAAACTCAAAGTTGAGACGGCCCAAAACCTCGCGGCGAGACTGCATGAGACGGGAAGTACTCTACGGAGTTTACTCATTGAGCCTAACTCCCGCAACTCGGAGGTTTTCGCTCGTGGAGGCTCTCGTTGGAGATCCTCGTCCCGCCCTCGCGGCTGCAGTGGTTTCAGTCGACCATGCATAGAAAGAGCGAGGAATGTATTGGATTCTACACCGAGGGGAAGGGACGCGGGACACCTTCAATTATAATTTCGATACCATGTCATCGCAGTCCACGCCACACATCAATCAAGTCAGGGCCTCGAATGCGCAATATTCCGAATGTCGGCAGCGCCTCATTCCCTCGCGAGAATTCTGCGGCCAAAACCTTGCGAATTCGAGCCGCCCGGACTAATTTCAAGGCATGTCGGTGGCCCCTCTCCCACGGAGGCTGGAGAGGACTCCCCGCAACCCGCAACCCATTGAGGGAGAGGAGATTCGTTATCTCCGCTAACTGGAGATGAACTTCTCCCCACACGATCGGCTCGTCACCCTCCCCCTGAAGTCATGAGGAAGACCTGGAAGCTCGAATGAGGAACGGATAGAGAGCGAACACACGATGAACTTCCACCCACATATGATCCTTAGGGAGGCTCCAGGTCAGATCTCCGGAAGAATCCGACGTTCCCGGGAACCGCTGAAGCGAAAATCGTTCCCCTGACTCTTGGCGTTGTAAGCATCAGAAATACCTAGTCATGATCCCAAGGCCCAAGAATGGACGAGCGAAGGTTGTTTCCCATCTAACCCGCATTGTAGGTAAAAATGAATTCAAACCACGCTTTCTTGAAGTAACTGTATTCGTTCCGCTTACTGTTTTTTACAGGATTCATTTCCATGAGACTGACCATCTGATGATGCTTGACCGAAAGAGATTTTCCACCACAGTCTAGATAGAGTTAGTAAGTTGCTAGTGTTGATTTCGTTGATGCCTCTCTCCGAAGGTGTCCGCCGTAAGATCTCGGATGGTCTCCGTCTCGACCGATTGATGAAAAGTTTCCTTTTCTCGAGCCCTCAAGTCTGCTCGAGTGACGCTCTGAACGTCGACACGATGTGGTCTGTGAGAGATATCAGGGTCGACTCGCATGAACGTACACGAATGCAGGTTCGCCGCGGTCCTGACCGGTTCGCTGTCTTCATCGAAAGAGAAGAGTTCTTCCCATAATCTGCTTGGCTCCTCGGACGATCTCCAAGATTTCTCTGATGACTGATGATCGTCGATCATTGGATCTATCTAGATCGCAGCAGAATCGTTGCGGATTCGCCTCCCGACCAAAGTATTGATCTCCACATCGGCCTGACTCCCAATCGTATATCATCATCATCATCATATGTACAACGTATTAGGGCATCGGAATCGGGGGAGTATTTAAAGCAACAAGCGACTCAGTTCTCTGTACAAATATGTTGTGTGGCATTTCTTCTTTCTTCCTCGTGTTTGTTCAAAGTCATTCAATTCATCCGTTCGGATATATTCAATATATTTGCGCACTCCGTCCGTCGTATCAGGCCATCATGCTCGTCACCGATAATAACAATGTCGTAGAAGACCGAAGCAGGGGCGAGAACGCGGGCGGATGCGATCTTGGAAACGTTCGGGGGAATCGGAGCGGGCAATACTTGCGAATACAGTTCTATACTTCACCGTCAGCCCTGCTTCCGGTACCTCTGGAATTACTTCAAATTACTCCAAATTGCTTCAACGACGACATCATCGATTCATCAATCAGCTAAAGTAGTCTACAGGTGTGTTGGGTCTACAGAAGGAACTTAAAAAAATACGAACGAAAAAGTCCTCAAAGAACCCAGGCTTCGAGAGAGCGAGTGACACGCGACTCGAGTGCGATATGCGGATCACGAATCGCAATAATCATCAGATCACCAACAAAACAGTAAGAACATCGTTCATACTTCAGACGACGCGCGACGTATATAAGTCAGACGGTGTGGGCTAGAGTTCACATAGAGGGAGGGGGAAAGTTCTAGAATAAGATCTGGGGGAGCGTGAGAAAAGCGGAGAGCGAGGCCTTAACAAGCGAAGCAAGCCGACTTGGTCCTGCAGATCTGAGTTCAACCTACGTAAGACTCGATCAAAGATTCACAATCAATAGACCGTCTCTCCTGCATCGAAAAGAATTCCCCCATCTCTCAATCGCTCAATAGCTGAGAGCCCTCCGGTGTTCCGGGGGAAACTCGATGAACTCCAAATCCACTCAACTCAATAGTCAAAAAGCTAAACGACGTCTCGACACGAGCGATTTTCTCTCTCCATTGAAGAATGAAAATTTGCGGAAGTTGTGATATCGATCGGATGGTGCCGGAGCGATACAAAACTCCGTACGCGCCCCCAAGGATTCGAAAGCTCAAAGTCGATCAAATTCGTAAATACATTAAACGATTCGCCTTCGAGTGCAGAACGGCAGATAGATGGATCGACATCGACAGACAGACAGACGTCCGAATAGACAAACAAACGGTCAGCAGCCTCACATAGCAAGCAGAGAAGTAGGAGTGTCTCGGAGAGATTAATAGATGGTTTAAGAGCGCCAGACCCTTTACTACAAACAGATGTGGACAGATCACCGGTGAACTATTCGACACATGATCGTTCAGGAACGCACAGCGGGTCTTCAGACGATTCTGCCGCGGAGCAGCGGCACCGACCGACGTGCCCGCACGGCACGAGGAATCACCGCGCACACTGTGGCCCACCACGAGCAGCGTCGTCTTCGTCATCCTGTTCTCATCTTCTTGTTCTAATGTGTTTGGTGGTCACAAAATGAGCAACTTAAACTTGTGAAAACATGTTTCTATCGTCTACTAGGTCCTTGTTTCCGCTTCGACCCTCGAATTCGAAGGCTTGATTGGTTGATGGATGCATCGTTGGCTGTCGCAGGCTTCGATCGAGCGCTTGGTTGATACTCGGACTCCCGTCCTCAGAGCGCGTCTTGCTCGCGCAGCGACTCGATGCCATCCAACGAGCTCTTCTCCTCCATTATCTGCTTATCACATCAGCACACAGCAGCAACAAACCCCATCACCCTTGCCCTTTGACGGAAGAACATTCATTTCTCGAACGATTTCGGTAAACATTTCATCGACATTCGACTTGAATTTTGCCGAAACTTCCATGAAAGGGCATCTCCATATTTGAGCTAGCGCTTCGCCTTCGGCGCGCGTCACCTCTCGCTGATGCTCCAAATCAACCTGCAAGACAAGAAATCAAGGATTCAGTTGGAGGAACACCTACGGGCTCGGTAGAGGCTTGCCTATCAGATATATACCGACGATATCCAGAATGTCGATTATTATCCAGTCGATACATTATCAAGACTCATGGCACCTAGTTATGGTGAACTCGAGGCAACGGATTTTCTGGTTCCGGGGTGAGCAGCTCTATATTCGCTCAAGCAGAGCCTCAGAGTTACCCCGACGGACGACACTGACTGAGAACGAAAAATGCTGCCGACGACGTCGGCGCAGCGGTGTACGACCCAGCAGCATGTCGCGGGCGATGACGACCACCACCATTACGACCGAGGGAAAGAAGCCAAGCCCGCTGAGCGAAGTGGACTTCCAGAGCGAATATCTGCGCCATACTAATGAGATTCTAGTACGCGCGCACAAACAGGAGTCAATGCGGAGACCACGTTGATATAGACGGGCCAATATTTGCACAACGCTCACCCGCATCGAATATTATCAGCCTTGCGGAATGGTTACGATGCCACGGGGTCGCCTATCTCCTGTAGCGAGCGGAGTCTCGATACGAAACACAAATAGAACTCCTCATCTTGCTGAACAACTCTCGCGAGTTTCACTGAAATCTTTCTCGAGAGGGTTCTGCAAATCTAGGCGTACGCGGATCCTGATCATCTGGAATCGTGTTCGTACGCTCCCTCAATCCTGTGGGGGCATTCGAACCTGGGTCGCCTGAATATTTCATCGAAATTCAAATCATGGGTAATGGGATGTTTGCGAGATATTGCGAATACAGCTTATTTCAAGGAATTCCCCATGAGCACCCTTCGAGAATTCCAAAGTCTCTGGACCCAATCGATTATGACCCCGAATCGGATTTCTCATGCCGCTCAAAAGAATGACACACGAGGTTGGCGTCGGACTTTCTAATGCAGAAACAAGGTTCGCCGCACAACTTATTGCAGAACAGTTATCGAAAAACGAGGCAAGAGCAGGTCCATTGAGGAGGTAGAAGAGGGTCTCGGAGGCTGCTCCGCTGAAATTATGAAAAATCGCAGGGGCGATGTCTCATCAGCCGGAGAAAGGGAAGCGGCAAGCGAACGGGGACGGTTCAGCCGGCAGCTTAAAAATTCCCGAACCGATGGAATCGATGGCTGACGCATTAATTCTTATTAATAATAATTGGATTGTCGCTCAGCGAGATCCGCAGCGTCCGCCACGGAGGCGGTTCTGATCTTTTTTCTCTGTGAAATGTTCCGGAATCGTTTCAAGTTTTCCCCGCTTCTGATTGTTCGCGTCGTCCTTGTCGCCCTCGTGCGCCTACCTAGATGATGTATCAACTCCACTTTCCCTTCCCCTTTTCGTCCATCTCGCCGGCGGTGAGCAAAAGTGTGATTCGCACCGGGAAACTCCGAGCCAGGCGGGTGTGCGAGCAACAAAGCGAGCGAACCAGCGGTCACATGACTGTCGATCAGAACAGCGGGAGCAGCAGCAGCAGTGGTAACAATCCAGCACAGAACATTATTCGTTGGCTCATTCTGTCGCGAGATTCGTCCTTCGCACGCGATTCTAGCTGCCGACTCAGAAAGCGAAAGGAAAGCGGCTATTATTCCGCGGGGCAGCACCGCAGTTGAGATATCCGAGAATCTCAACCCTCCATCCTCGTCGAGGAAGGGGGGCCGTCGCGGGAGTCGGCGTCCGGTTTTGAGCAATGGGATCGTGTCGCTGATTCGGGGCTTCGGTAGACAACGGTCCGAGCTCGGTGTTACATCGATGTTTTTTCGGACAGTTCCGCGAAAAAAATCATCAGAGAGGGATGTTCGGCACGAAGATGTCCGCTGCACAGTTCCTTTGTTCGTCGCGCGCTTCTGAGTAATTGAGGCAAACAGCGATCGATTGCAGAGGAGTCGTTCGGAGCTGCTGTCATTTGGCTCCTTTCGAAATGATGGTGAAGTACGGCCTGAGTCTTTTTCGATCGATCACATCGTGGATAGATGCACGATAAAAGGCTCCGCAGATGCCGAGTATGGTCGCTTGAAGACCTGGACAGAAGATCGATGGAGCTCTCTCCCGAAAGATCATAAAATGCTCCACGCGTGTTTGAGGTTTCTGACACACACGCGGGGTTTACACGTGATCAGGGAATGAAAAATGATCTTAAAGACGCTTACAACATGGATAGGATTAGGAGGCAGAGCCGGGAAACCGGGTTCGAGAGCGAGATCTCTCCCTGGATACTTCTAATTGCTCCTCAAATCAGAGCTGACAGCAGCTCCATCCTCAATGCAGCTCGACGCATCCACATGCGATCTTGTTCGATGACCGAGCGAATCTCGCTCCCAGATTGATATGGCTCGGAAATCTTGATACGGTGACAGCACATTCGACTCCAATCCAGAAATTAGAGTACATAATCGGAAATTCCCCGCTCCGTCCCAGCAGCCTCCAGGACAAGCTCCCGGGAGCCCGCTGCTCGAGAGCCGTCATGAAGCTTCGGTGGTTGGCGTTCTACTCGTACTCGCGCGTAAATATATGCAACCGCCGAATCGGATGATTCAGATGGCATTAATTCGCGGCTGGCGACTTTGGATTCAATGGAAGGGTCTACATCGTTTGGCCAAGCGTAACAGCGCTCAGCATATCGTCAATGACTCATCGACTCACCTTGTTGCCGACTAGGAGCACTGGAACACTTTCGGAGTTTTTCACCCGCATGATTTGTTCTCTCATGTTTCTGATGTCCTGTAAAGAAATAAACAGACGCTTACTTTAGCACGTTGAGTCTCTCTCGCGACTTACAGACCGAAACAAACCTTCTATGATTGCCCCAAACCGAGAACTCTCAGATTATCGAGGCAACAAACACATTCAATACATCGATATCCCCTCCACGCTTAGAGTCTTGCTTGATTCTTTCGGTCTGTACCGAAATATAGGACACCACTTTGATTTCTCATGCGAATGTGGGTGTCGCAGAATATTACGTTGACGGATTCCGAGTTTATCGTAGATCGATTCACTCTTAAAAAGGTGAAATAGGTCGAAGGCCTTCTATTGCCCAACACGATGCGCCGATGTGATTCCAATCCCGGACTCGGAGTCAAGCCAAGACCCGCGAAGAAGTTCGAACGAGCTTTCACGAGTCCAATATCTTCGTATGGACGAAGGCGTGGAGCTCAAACTCTCGTAGTTTTCAATTTATTCCTTCCCGACTCTGAGAAGACTTTGCATCCGGAACCTTTCCCGGAACTGCGTGAAGTTTCTTCGAGGACACAGCCGCGTTCAAGATACGAAATTCGTCGGACTTCGCGTCCGCTCAACTTTCTCTGGACTTAAAATCGCAAGATCCTTGAGCCGAATCAAGCTTTCTGTGAAGCGAGATAAAATTCGGTCCCAAAGAGATTGGATTATTCGCAGAGAACCATTAGCACCGCCAGGATTACCTGATTTTCCCGATGAGATCGTGGTCTCACGAGATTCCTCCAGCATTGCGTGAAATTTCCTCACGTTGTTCTCCGATAAAGCTCCGCTGTAAATTTCACCACAATCGTCGGCAATCGCCAGCGACCGTCTCGTCGGGCCAGACAACCACGATGTTTAGAGACTGAACGTAGTCAATCACTGACGCTCTCAGCCTTTCGCTTGGTCGACCGTTATTGCCTGACAGCTCAAGTCGGAAACTCGCACGCTAAATCCATTGAAAAACGTCGAGGCAAGACTCGACGTCTGTCCCCGATCGACTTCGTTATGATGGGCGCCCATGGTGGAAACGACGGCGGCGGAGACGACGAGCCAGCTCCCCGTGATCAACTCGTTGCAGCGTTCCTTCAATAAGGATTCTTCCAAGTCGTCTTTGTGGAGCACTCTGAACTCGAACTCAATTCGTTCTTCGTTTGTTTCCCTCGTCCGCAGAAATACAAAAAAAAGAAGAGCATCCGAAGGTGAGCGCCGAACTTGGCGTCCGGGAAGGAAAAGTTCCGTTAACAGTTCTGCCTTGTACGAGCAGCGGTAGCGAACAGGGGGAGAAAGATGCCAGAAACAAAATTTTTCCGCGTTCAGCCAAATGGCGGTCGGATTGACAATAGGGGATCTGCGGTTCGGTTATTGCCTCGAGCCCTACTCTTTTTTACTCTGTTTCCCTCCCGTCAAGACGGAAAGAGAAGAGCTGCGGAGCTCTGTTTTCCGAAGCGGTCTTCTATGCCGGGAAGAAGGAAAATATCCGGCAGAGTAAATCAGAGGCGATCGATATTCTCTCATCAAGAGTACTTCCAGGAGACCAAGGGCTTCCAAGTGAAGTATTGCTGTAAAGTGGACGAAAGACTTTTACAAGCCGTTCCAAGTCCACAGAGAGAATTATGATCTCTGTCGTGACTGAGCGAATACAAAAACTCCTCCGTAACGGGTTCGAGTGGCAAACTGTCCCTCACGTGAAGCAACGCCTCGGGTTCTCGCCGATCGAGGATTGGGTCTCCTGGCAAAGAGAAGTCCGGGGAACGATCACAAATGAGCAAATAATAATCACGCTGACGTATACATTCATCGGTTGTCTCAAAGCCCCGACCAAAAAAGCTTTGCGTTGGGCGACAAGGTCAATCCACCGTTCCGTTGGACAGACCGTCGGTCGGCCGAGTCGACGGTCGCTTCACCGACGACCAGATAGGATCTGTGTTGAGGATTCGATTCTCGAGCTCAGAAAACGAACGCTGCTGGCTATACGGCCGACCAGCGGGCCCGGTACAGTGAGAGAAGATCTCATTTGGGAGAAGAAAAATAATACGTTCGTCCACTCGACGGGACCGACGGCGTCTCCTATTCGGCGGCGTCTGTCCGCGGCAGCAGCAACAACAACCACGACGGCAAGGGTTGTTCGCGTCGAGAAGATCGAGGAAATCGCGACTGAGGGGCTGGCCATCAGACCGGCCTCGGCTGAATGCATAAAGTTCCCTAATGAAAAGAGCTCACCGTTAGCCTTAGGAGTGACTCTTTTTTAATATACGGCTCGTAATAACACACTTTCTGGTGGGAGCAGGAGCTCACTCAATGTCGTTTCCGCTTCCGTCCGAAAGTGAGCGGCGGTGCACTCCAGTAGACTTCAGCCCATCTGAAGATACCTGAGCCGACGGGTGGGAAAATCGCACGATATGTTTCTTCGCCCGGACTCGGAAGCAACGATCACGTGGCGAGGGGCTCTTCGCAAGGTCGCGTCATCATCCTGGAGCCCCGGGGGTTCCGAATTTGGGAATCGCTGCTCCAGAAGTTCCCTGTTCGATCAACGATGACAATCGCTCGATGATTCAGCGATTTGAGCCAGAATACACACTGTTCTGAGCGTCAGAAGAACCACGGGCATCAAATCGAAGAATGCGAGGCACACGCTCTGCTTAGTCTATGAGACTGCGCTTGCTAGTACAACAGGAAGCTCGTTACTACGAACACAGAGGGACCGACGAAACTGGTTCGTTGTACAAATTTTTCGGTGTAACGAATGCCGCTCAACACCATCCCTATGGCGAGTTGGCCACAGGAGGAGAAATTCAGTGTTCGTTGTACCGAGAAATTCGTTGTAATGGGGGTCGTTATAACGAGCTTTTACTGTAAATGAGCGAAGTATAACGAAAATCAAATTGAGAAGTAAATTTCTGGGGACACACCTGCGATTCGAGGGCTCATTCAATCGTAGGATCGAAAGGTGATATTCAAACCTGCTCGTGCTAGTTGACCCCCTACGTTTGAATGAGGCCCGTTTCCTTTGCTTGAGAGACACATGTGCAAAATTGGAGTCGAGGTCAAGGATCCTTAAAAATGACTCTATCAATACGCTAGGAATTAATACGCTATTCCTAATGTTAATGATTATAGTGGCGGTAATGGTGATGATGACAGCACCGGGGATCGACACTGACGGTGATTGAAGTTGAGGGTAGACCTCCGCAGAAAATCGAATAGGTATTTCCGTTTAGCAACGATTGCTGAGTCGAGAATTCCCTCTCAACCCGTCGGGACCCATCGAAATATCTTTGCTCTGAGATCCCGCATTGACTCGAACTCCCACGCACGTGGTGCCAGTCGCATCCCCCTGCTCCCGGAAGCGAGGTTGAATGCATCACAGCTCTTTCTGCGAAACATCGCCTGAGAAAAATCCATCCTGTGAAAAATCCGTCTGAAGGCAAGCATCCGTCAGTCCCGATATCAAGCAAAAAATCAAGGCTTTGGGAATCCGCGTTCCGTCATCACGTCAAGGACTCATACGGCTTCCAGAAGAACAAAACCACTTCAGATATTCACCGCTCGTCGTTTGTCGGCGGAACGTTGATCACATTTTCTCTATCAGATCAATATCCGCGGTCTCATCCATGACTGCTCTCTCGCCAGATGGGATCGAAGATCTTTCATTTGGTCGGGACATGACCCGCGTCATTAGCGTCTCCAAGTTTTCGTTTCCTCGTGCGATCAACCCGAGCGCGAAAGCATTGTATGTACCTGCTGATGTTCACACCGCATCCCACAGGGGGGGGGGGGTGTGGAACGATCCTCGGAGCCCGCTCTCTTCTTAGACTTTTTTCTTTATGAGGATTATTTCCTCGTCCGACTGTCGCAGTCTGTCCCGCAAGTTTCGCGGTCATGGAATCGATCCGGCTAATTCGACAGGATAGCGGCAGATAACCGCTGCATCGGCGGCATCTCACGATGAATTCTGATTTTTCTTCCTCCTCAAAGTTGGTCTGTGGAACACTTCCGTGCCGCTTTCTGAAGTTCGGTGTTGCTCTCAAATGTCGTTGGCGAGACGATCCATTCAATTGTCAAAACGCTTCGAACAAATGCTCTCACCAAACAACAAGACATACTTAGCCAGGAAGCGTGGAAAGCTCCGAGGAGCTCCTAGCCAAGTGGAGAAGAAAGGAGACGTATAAACATTCTCCCGGCGACTCACAGAGCGAAGATCACGCGCACCGGACAGCGCCACCAGCGCTCACGTTGTTGTCCATGTTGTCGACAACGACGACGCGACGGTCGCAACGTCTCACTTGTAGGAGGTGCTTGATGCGCTTGGTCAAGCTCCGGGTCAGCTTCCGTCGCTGACCGGCTTATCTTTGTCGCGAACAGTAAATAAATCCACCTGCCTTTTTATCAATTACCGCAGTGCGCACATCTATGGCGCCCCTCTAATTAATAAAACCCAGTCCCCTTCGAATTTTTCTTTTTCGGAAGCTCACCCTTCTATGGATGCCCGGACAGCTTGCACAAGAGTTTGGACTCCTTGACAATAATTCTTCTCCGAAAACGGAATTCCCAGGCAAATAGACACAGCTCCCTTTCGGGATTTCTCCTTCGAGCAGCGGTACGAGGCAGTGATTCCGCTTCTCGCAGAAAATTAGTGAAAAAAAGTCTGAAGATCTATTGCCGCTTGTCGCGTGAGCATTGGCATCGCTCGTCTAGCGACGGGCGAATGAGTCACAGCCAGCCGACAGGCGTCTCCGCGTGTCGACGTGGTTCACATAATAACTGGACCAAACTGTTTTTCCAAAAACCTCTCTTGCTGTGGCTTTCGAAGCGCTCCGACATCTTTTTGCTGCCTATTAATTCTCCTCTTGACTAAGGAAATGTGCCATCACGGAACCTCTATTGACGAAGAAACGGTGTCTAGGGAACGATTTGCTCCGACCGAGAAGCAGAGGCGAGGATCATGAAATTTCCACCAATCATTTCCAATCAAGCTCTCCGGATAAGGATAGAGCCGCGTGCAACCACCCGCCAGATCGATTTATCGATCCAGATGTAAATGTTGATGGGAGTGATCATAATTGCGAAAGCATTGTTGTTTGTCTCGGCAACGATTCTTCTCAATTCAGCCCATGACGACCGTGGCAATGAGCGCGGATCGTAATGTAATCTGTTTATGGTTCTTCCCGCTTGCTCGATACTCGTCGGGAGCTCCGATTCTCCGTTTTTCTGCTCCCGATATCCCGAACACTCAGCGACTCAGCGCTGATAGTCGATCACGAGTGAAGAGGATTGTGGGAAGGAAGGAGCGCAAGGTATCGTGCCTTGAATCTTCCCGGTATTCCTACTGTAGCGTAACTTCCGGGAGAAGGAACCGAACATGCTGCTTCTCCAGAAAAAATCAGATTCTCGTCCCGGGGCCCGATATTCCCCGGATCCGGACCGAGTCTCCCCGCGTTCGTTCAAAAAGTCTCTCGGTGTGGTCGTATTCTTCTTTCATTGAACTTTCTATCTTGATGTGCAACTTGCTTCTTGTTCATCGTCGTTACATCATCAGAACCCATTTTCTGTATCGCCCCGCTCGGTGTCCAACTCACGGAGGACCCAGTTGAGACAAAGCAATCATTCCCGAAGACGAAAGCTGTGTCTGACTGAGTGAGCGAGTGCTGATGACCAGCCCAAGTTTTCTGCAGCTTCTGCTCAAAAGCTGCGAGATCTGCCTTTGGCTTGAGGGCTGGTCGGCGAACTGTTCCGCGAGCTGAACGGTCGTTCGTTCGTTCGGTCGGTCGCCTGCTTGGTGGATGACATCAGACGTATGTCGAGACGACCTCGTTGCGTCAATTCTCCGTAATCGTCGGGCGATCCGCCGGCGAAAAAATCTCTATCATCTTTGGCGACCCGATCGAGGAAGAGAGGAAGAGACCCATCGTTCAAACGCTAGAAGGCAACCCAAGACGCAGTGGTCTTGAAATGTCAAAAAAAGGAACCGACCGACAAACTAGAAGCGGATATGCGAAGCGAATTGATTTGCCCGCTCGCTCGCTGACTGTTGGTTCTGGAAGGCGCACCTCTCGCTCTACCGAGAAGGAATACAGGTCGTGACGTATTGCTCACCGGAGAAGGAAAACATTTCTCCACACCGATCTCTCTTTTCGCGAGTTTCCAGGCGCTTTCGCGATTTCTTTCGCTTCGAGACAAATCACGCCGGAAGCTTAGAGATTACAGGAACGGTTACTCATACGACATGATGCCGGAACGCAGTAGCAACGAACGCTCGAGCAGACGGACCACCAGCCGAGGTACTCCAGGTGATACGCAAGGCCGACATCTCGAGAATCGACGTGTTTCCAGGAAGGAAGCTCGAAGGCTCAGCCATCCAGCCCGATCAGAGCTGTTCAAACCCTAAATTAAGCTCCGCCGCGAGACTTTCCCGTGGGTCTGATCGAACGGAGGCATTGCATTCAGGTCGAAACGTCCCGAAAATTCTGAGAATGGAAAGAGGTCCCCAGAATTTCGGAGGCTTCCTCTCTCGACTTTGCTCGACCAGCAAAATCGTATCCGCTTTCGCTACAGTCATCGACGGAGTTTTGATGGACTTATCTTCATGAGCGGATTCCGAAAAGGCTCAGGCGCGATGGCGAGCGAACCGAGCGAAATGGGAGAAATGCAAAAAAAACACTCACAATCTTAAAACAGCGGAAATCGATATGAGACATCATCACGGCCTGATTCACAAAGCCCATAGATTGCCGTATAGGCAGCAGCGGCCTCTAATCGCGGAAGCGCTGGGGCCCCAGATATGGTTAAGATTTTCATTATCGCTCACTGAACACGAGACTCCGAATGTGAAACTATATACCTCCTCCGTAATTCGCTGTCAGTGTCCATCAACGCTCGAACAGCCCTGAGAGCATGCGTCGTAGGGAATAAGGTCGATTTCTGAACGAACGAGACGGAGTGGAGACTCCAGTAAGAACTCCACGACGCCCGGGAACGCATTCCGGACTCCAACCGCAGAGCATCATGATTGCGGGATGGATCCGGACTCAATGATCTTATCATGGGATGCTAGGTTTAGCGGAGGGCCCACTCAAGTAAGAGGCTCAGAAGTTCGATCAAATTGATGGCTATATCCACCTCGGCGGAACAGCAACGTGAGTGGATGGCAGTGGACTCGGATCGTCTTCAGAAAAAAAACAGTTTATAAGCTCTTGGACCATTTATCCTGGGAACTCGTCTGTTTATTCTTCCGAATTCATGAATTCGCCTGTCACTGCAGAAACCAAGTATGTTTACTTCTTCGTCAGGGGAAGTTCAAAACGTCACGCCGAATCGATCGGCACGCAAAGCATCGTAGCGATGCCGAGGATTCATCCATTGGAAGGCAGTCAAGAAGGATGGACAGCCTCAACTTTGAGGCTGCATTTTAGTCCCGCCAAGAGTCGTAAACTGAGGTCATACAAGTCACTGTGCAGAGATTGCTGCCCACGACCACCCGTTCATCTATCGAGGCGAGCGATAGGATCGAGTCCCCGACATACAGACCGAATGGGGAACCAGCACGGGTGAGCCTCTTACGAATAAGGCGGGGGGAGGCGGGGGGGGGCTGCGGAGGAGTTAGGATCTGACATTTGCGATCACGGCGCTAGCGGCGGAAGACAGAATAGCAAAAACCGCGGCTGCACACAACAAGACGCAAACGACCACATGGCGGGATATACGGATAGATAGCCACCCTAACGCGCCCTCGTCGCTTCGAAAGAACGACTGGCCGTCCAAGCGAGCGACCGACGGACGGGCTGACGGACGGATAGACCGACCGACCAAAAACCACCCACCAGCTGAAGCGAAATCAAGACAAGCCACTAAATCGCTGCCGCCCGGAGCCACCGGTCCTCGAATACCAGAACCGAACATAAAGAGGAATAAAAACAAAAGAACACGACGCGGATGTCGGAACGTCACTTTGCTCGCTCTGACTCCGCTGTCAATCGAGAATTATATCTTCTCCTTCGCACAGGAAGACTTATTTCCACCGTCGATATGATCACTGTGATTATTGTTCGCCAGGGAACATATTCCTCGAGCTAGCATGCATTCGAACCTTCGGAACGAATCGTTCCGTCCGGTTCGCTGTCAAAAACAAGAGGGAAAACACTCACCTGGAACGTCTGATGACTTGTTATACTGTACACCACGACGAAACCCTGTCCGTTCTTGATGTACAAATCTCGCATGCTGGCAAATTGTTCCGTGCCCGCCGTGTCGAGTATCTCGAGCACGCAAGGCGCCTGGTCAACTTCGATCTCCTTCCGATAGAAGTCCTCAATCGTCGGATCGTACTTTTCCATGAAGTTGCCACTGACGAACTGCACGGTCAGAGCCGACTTGCCCACGCCTCCTGAGCCGAGTACGACCACTTTGAATTCACGCATTGTGCCTCAATAACGATTACGTTGAGCCGTGGCGACGAATAAAACTCGTAGCGACGATCAACTTCGCACAGAGCTCTCCTGAAGGCTGATGTTAATGCGACTGCTGCTGCTGCTGCCACTACTACTGAAGCAGGCTTCTGTCAGAGGGACTCCTCAGCTCCAAGGAGACATGACAGCTTGTCTGACGATTGCCAACTAACACATCGTAGCCTGCGACAACGTAAAACGCTACGGCACGACCAGCGCGCACTGGATGCGGATAATTTGAGCAAGTTTTCACCAAGATCAACAAAATGGGCGACTGTCGCCTACTCCGAGTTTGACCCACAATCTTTTTACAACCCAGGCACAAGCCAGAACGTGTCGTGTCCTGCATGCCACTGAGCGGAAGGATTTTTTTTCAAATTGAGTCCTTAATCGCTTTACTCGCTCCGCGGCGGGATCGTTATCGACAGAATCTACTTATTCTGAGAACTGGGAGCCTGAACTCCGAGGATAATATGAGATTCATTTTCCGAATCTCCCTCGTATCCTGCGAAGGGATCGACGGGGATCCGCAACCCAGACACGCGCTCCCTCCGCGCCTCCGCGCTGGCTGACTTCCCTGACTTCGATTGGTATCTGCGGTGCATATGCGGTCCAGATGAGTTATCGACTGGACTCACGGTTCTGATCAGGGTTCCGGGATCCGATTGTGATTTCTGGAGGCTTCTTCACCGGAGTATCTCTTGGTTGAGAGAGGGTATATATAAACGACTGGAACGCGTCTGCTACTCGTCCAGCTTTTCAGTGAAGCCGTGTGTGCGGTTTGTGTATGGTGATTTAGAACTTTTTCCGACACTAGAATTCTCCTCCAATTCGCGAGATGAATGATACCTCAACGGTGAGAGACGGAAGTTTCATATCTATCGCGCTTTTTCTATGCGAGCGTTTTCGGAGAGACGGGACGCGTGCGACGCGGCCATTCTGCCGGGGGCTTCTTTGGAGAGCTCCAGTCGATGCCCGGACTCGAGTCTGGGAGCGGCCAGAGAATTTCTTTAGATAAGAAGTAGCTTCGAGCGCTGCCCGGCGGGTTCCCAAGCCACGAACATCGACCTCGGAGCCCGAGGATCTGTGATTTCGTCTTCGATACGATCAGAGAGAACATCGTGTAGCGTTCGATCGATCAGAATTGGCTGTGGCGTACTCTGCAGAGACTCCGAGACGCCGGTGCCGTCCCAGCGGAGGCGGGGGATCTCAGAGAAGAGTACCGCCAACGAGATCCATATGCTCACGACTTCACCTTATCCGATTCTCGACGCTCTGGGCTCAGTCGAGCTCACATCTGGAGCGTTCCCTGACCCATTCCCGTTTACAAGTCCGATCTGTAAATTGAGAACTGAATTTCCGCATGGTTCTATACTGCGGAGGAGCTCTCCCAGACGAACTCTGGGGCTGGGGACGCTCACCGCGGATCGGACTTGGTCCGGCGCAACATCGTTCGATGCGTCGGCCTCGTAAACTGAGAATGCCCTATGATTTCAGAATAACGAACAGAAGGAGAACGTGCCCGCAGTCCTGCAAACTAAACACCCCCTCCAGAACACCTGGTCGTTCTGGTTCTTTAAAAACGACAAAACTAAGGTGAGGATATCAGATTAGGTAGTGATGCGTATTCCGAGTCCAGCTCGGCTCGGGCCCTCCCCGAAAAGCTTCCGCCGCATGGTATCCCCAATGTTCCACGGCATTTTGAAAGGATTGGTTATCGTTTCCCCCTCAGGCTTGGGACAAGAATCTTCTGAAGATCACTTCGTTTTCGACGGTTGAAGACTTCTGGGCGCTGTACAATCACATCGAGCTCGTCTCTCACATTCCGCAAGGGTGAGTTGTCTTTTCCCCATCAACCTGCGTGCTCTCGGAATTAAGTCAGATCTCGGAACCGAGTGATCCAGTATAGTTCGGCTTCTGTGAGATCTCTCGGGTCTCAGGGCCAGTGCAGCCGAGCGGAGTCGTGATGGTGAATCCTGAAATGTAATTCTCGTTTTCCAGATGCGATTATTGTGTGTTCAAAGATGGGATCAAACCCATGTGGGAAGACTCCGCTAACGTGAATGGTGGCAGGTGGCTGATCTCTCTGAACAGGCAGGCTAGAACTCAAGAGTTAGATAACTCCTGGCTAGAGCTTCTACTTCTGCTTATCGGAGAGGGTTTCGAAGAAAATTGCGACGCTATCTGCGGCGCTGTCGTCAACGTGAGACCCAAGGCGGACAAGATTTCATTGTGGACCGCTGACGCAAACTCCAAGGATCAGTGCCTCGCAATTGGTTCGTAGTTCATTCATGACGCTGCTGAGAGCCGACTTCCCGTGGCTCGATTCGTAAGGCGACTTAGTAGCTGAACGGAATCTCGAGTCTCCATTTTCGGGTAGATAAATCTTTCTCATCTTGACTCTCTTCGTTTCCAGGTCGAATTATGAAACAGCGACTCCACCTCAATGCTCAAACTCTCGTTTGCTACAACTCACACGCGGAAACCTCTCACAAACAATCCTCGATGACGAAGCCTAAATATACAGTTTAAATCAATTTGTGGCTGTAGGAAGCTTGGGACGCGCTCTGATATACGCCAGTTTCGAACTTTATTTATTCATCTCTAACATCCAATGTCCGATCGCTGCTGTTCGGCAGACCGTGGATGTACCAACACAAGCTGCTACAAGGCCAAGGAAACTTTACCAACGACACCGACCAACTTTAGACAATGAGCCTGCTCGTCTAGCGAATGCAAAGGGAATGCAGAGCAGAAATTACAACGAAAATTGGACCTATCTAAAGGCCATTCGGAATAAGAAACAATAACATCAATAAAGCAGCGAACTCATTCATCTTAAAACGAACTTTTCTTATTCGATCAAAAATATCCCTAAGCCCGGACAACATTCCGAGGTGATGGCTGACTTCAATTCCAAGGCGCGGGAATTCTTTCTGCTGGTCTCGATGAGACGGTACACTCCCGAGTCCCCGAATCGCATCCCCCAGAATCCCATTCCCCCGAATCGCGTCTCCCTGAATAGCATCTCCCCGAACGAATTCTTGCCTAATTTGGGCGCGCTGCTGCCCTATTCAGGACTGAGCGAAGCTCCTATGATCGTCCAGAACGTCCGACATACATAAAGCAAGGTTTCCATTCTTCCGGCGGATTATCGAAGTCACAGCAAATCAAACCAGCAGCCAAGCCTGCTAACGGATTTTTCCCAGGCATGACAGGATAAGAACGTGAACTTCCTTCTGTTTGCTGTTGATATCTCAGGATTCTTAGCGAGTTTCATCTACGAGATCATCATCGGTGCAAACGCTCTTCTCTAATGTGTGCGGATTCATGGATATCGATCCTGGAGGCTTACAGCCGTGCGAGAACTCACAGAATAGAACCAAAGGAGCTTCCGCTCTCGAATTGCTCGATGGACTCGGAGTTCTCTAACTCACAGCATTCTGAATGAGGTGAACCCATGCGCTCCCGGTTTTCCCGTCTTATCCGCTTCAGAGCGCTCATAGCATTCGGATTGATATTATTTTATATTGAGTCTTCACCACAGTTTTCTTCTAGAATCATAGAAACTCCGCTCAGCCTGAGATGAGCCAGCCGCGCGCCTGTGGGAGGCCTCATTCGGGGAGATGCGACTCGGGGAGATGCGATTCGGGGAGTCGGGTCATAATCGATGAGACGATCCTTAGAAGCCTCCTGTCCGGTCAAAGAATGCCATGGGTGAACGAGCGACTCTCGCACCCATCTCTCATCATCACACTCGACTTTAAGGTTCAAGGATCGACAATGGTCCGATAGGGCGACAGGACGCTAGAGCAAGGGAATGACGACGATCTACGTCAGACTGGTTCTCAAGGGCTTGATCCAGAGATTAGGTTCCGAAGGATGACTCATTCATGAAAAATTTCCTCGATCTCGCGACGAGCTCCCGTTTACTGAATGAAGGTAGGGACCGGATTCCAGGATGATTGCACATCGCAAATCGATCCAAGATAGAGCTATCAATCATCGGCGTAAGAATTCCGCGCCCAAGCTCTTCAGCTCAGCTCCCGCGTGTGCACTCATGTCGATGTTCTTATGCTTTGCGGAATCCGTGGGAGCAATACATTGAGTTTTAAGTTCAGATTAGAAAGATCGCGACATCGATGTGGGAAACTCCCTGATATTTATTTACATCATTCATCTCCGGCGAACGCTCCCTCCGTCCTTCCCCACGAATTCCGCTGACAATTTGCTGTTACAATATACTTACTCCTCCGGCTGCCCTCCGATCTCAGGACGAAATTCCCTTTCTATTTACAGAGAACCTCAGCGAGAGTCTGGGAACATGAGTCTGTCTCATCCAACGTAGGGTTTTGCTCGTGTCCCCGAGACTCATCGAGATCCATTTTGATCGATTATGTACACTTAACGGTAGATTCCCTGATCGTGATGAGAGCTCGACGAATCCTCGATTGCTTCTCCACTCTCAACCATTTGCTCGAATTGTAATAAGAATCATGTACCCTCTAATGCCATTCGGAAAGTTGATCGAGCTCCGCTCAGAGCCCGCGGCTCCCTCCCGACGAGTTCAACAAGCTCCGCTCCTCAGTTCACGGGGAGCATTTCGATGGGCGTGTGGAACTTGAAATCTTCGGGGAACAGCTGAGCTGCTCTCGGGTACATTTGTTTGTAACTTTGCCGGATGGTCACTTCGGCGACGCCAGCAATGTCCCCAATCTCCTTCTGAGATTTCTTCTCGGCGGAAGCCTGGGCGGAAAACAACAACATTCAGCAATTCACAACAACAACAACAACAATTACATTCAGCTGAGAATCACAGATGGAAGAATTTTCCCTACGACATCAGGATCATACAGCCTGACATTCTCAGTTAATACAGGTGAAGAGTTCTCACCTGTGATGCCATGTAGATTGCTGCAGCCGCGACAGAGATTGGACTTCGTCCAGCCACAATGTCCATTTCGACAGCTTTCCGGGCAATGTGGGTGGCGGCCTTCTGTACGGCGGTAGATAGGGCCAGATTCGAGCAGAACCTGGACATGAAGTCTCCCGTCGTGATCAGCTCTACGGATGTTTCCAGAGCTTTCAAAATGAGCTTGAAACAGCGACCGATCTCCTTTTTCGAAACCTGTTGGGGAAAACGATCACCATTGAAACAAGCGGCTCTCGATAAGGTCTTTAATCCTGGGTCCACAGGAATTACCGGACTGAGCGAGATAATACGTACTTTGGATACGGCGCAGATCTCTTTGAATGTACGAGGTACACTCTCTTGTCTGCATGCGATGTACAGGCACGCGGAGGCGATGGCGTCGTTAGAACGACCCTTCAAACTCCGTCCATCGTGAACCTGAGGGAAATCTCGGGAATTTACCGAAAACGTCGAAAGGCGGCTGGTAAACTTCGAGGGATTCCCCTTCGTGCTCGATTCTGTTTTCGGAATACTCAGAAACCGTTGGAATCGAACCAACCTGCTTGAAGAGAGCGTTACTTCTATCTATGATGTTCCGGGTCAAGTTGATACGATCGCCCATAGCGCTGATTTCTCTGAAAGCCCCGATGAGAGCTCGGTCTGAAGAGCTCATCGTTTTACGGTTGGCATATTTCGCATTCCCGGATTCGTCGAATGAGGCATCACCTGATTTTAAAAATTCTATCTCAATCAAGAAGTCAGTTCTCGAGTCGCGACATGTACTGAATCGCCAATTCGAATTCTGAAGGCAGTTTTCCGATTTGAGGGCAGACCTGTGCCGCGGCCAATAATTGTGCTCAGATCACTCCCGTTGAGCAGTGGATTCTCTGCAGCTCCGACACGAGTGGGATCATTAGAGGACTTTTCGTTCTGGAAAACTCGCCATTCGGTACCCACATCGACGATTCTGTGGATAGGAACAGGGATCCATTATTCAGAGACCTACTTACAGTGGCGGGGGGGGGGGTGGGAACAGAGAGGAATAAGTTATTCCCACAAGGACAGGTGGTAGAGCAATTGCTACCGGCACATTGCCCCCACTTCGAGGCCTTCGACTCACCTATCACCCACCACGAGTCCACACTGGGGACAAATCATATCGCCCGCGCGATAGTCTTCGATTAGATTAGCTTCCGGATGATCCGGGCAGAACACTCGAGCCCCAGATCTGAAAATCAATCGAATCGTTGAGATCGGGACACCCTTGAAGCTGTTTGAGGATACCTCCGGAAGATAGCTAGAGAGCTCCACCGCGAGGCTATGTCTTGGCTTCTCCCCATTGCAGGCTCATTGACAACATCGTGTAGAGAGCCGAGCTCAGGACTCGAGGAAACCTCAATCATCTCGTTCTAATCTTGTCGAAACGTCACTTTCAACAGTTCCTGTTCATCCCGCCACCGATTCTGCAAGTTGAGGTCAACTGACGAGAGTCAGTGTATCTCTTATGCGCGATACTCATGGTATTGCGGAGCCGGATCGAGTCGTGAATTGTCGAGAGAGAACATCGAATCCTTGCTTGACTCAGTCAGTGTGCCGGCAAGATGCTAAACTCTGGAGCTCTGAGAACGAGCTTACGATTGTGGCGATTTCGGTCGGCGTGAAGTTCATGAAATTCACCCGTATCTCCATGGTCTAGTCATGATTTGTCACGAGTGATCTCTCTCTTCTATGCCATATCATTCCGTATATTCTGCTGCGGTAGACTGTCAGGCGTACAGTCAGAAAACTACATGCACTTTCTAGGCATCGAGGCATCAGTCAGTCTGTGCTGCGTCTAGCGGGGGGACTCGGGAAATCCCCGGGTTTCTTCCATCCGGAGTCGAGGATCTGGACCCAGACCCAGATTCCCTTAGTTCGGCCTCCTATCTATCGTACGGATCGCAAAGTCGCAGCGATTCTGACAAACTCATTCATTCAGTACCCACAACACCGAATCTCCTCGTCAATCACATCACATCGAACTAGAATAAACATTCCGCAGCGAGCTTACTTTGAGGAGGATGCCATCTTTTATATACTTTGCTCCGGAATGCAGAGGAACCACTGGCTACGGATATCCGAGATGCGACGATCTTCCTGAACTTCCGGCAGGAAAAAACGGATCTCAGACAGACGGTCGACCACCACAGCAGTCCGTGAGCAACCAAGCGACAACAAGCAATGAATGAGTGGAACTCCAGTTACATCGAGCGAACGTTCTTTCTCTTTGGTGTGTCGCTGCTGTGGCTTGTCGTTTGTGCATCAAAAACGATCTTCCTCTCTCATTCGAGCAACATTCGTCGAAGAGCTCCGCCGCGTCGTCTACTGGTCTGCCAGTCGTAGCGGACGTCTGATCGGCTGTAAACACCGACTCACAATATATACACAAAAGAGAGGGTTGTTGTTGGCGGTGGCGGGCTGAGGGACCAGCCAATCGGAACGGAACGTGATATGACTCTTATTCCGTGAGGGACATGGCGGCTGTCGGGCTCGAGAAGAAAGGCTACTTCGAGATCGGGACCGGGTCGCTGGGAGCGGTATGATCTCCTCCGGCTCTGAGGAGCTCTAACTCGTGTAGCCCTACAGCACGAAGTCGGAGCCAATGAAGAACGGCCTCCTCCCCCATAGATTTCCCAAAGATGTGGAAAGGTTAACATAGATATTCCCGGCTTTTCGTCATGCGAGCCTAGACATCAGACACCTGCCGAAGTCTGCCGGCCGGCATTTCTCCGCGGAGCGGGCGGGACGGCCATATTTGCAAATGGCGCTTTCTCTAGAGGCTATATATGCAGTCGGCGCTGTAGTCAGCACGGCGCAGCTCTAAACGCTCCGAAAATCTCCGGTATGAGGAGCCCAAGAGTCATCGGATTTTTATCCACATCCATAGTATCTCCATAGAGCACGGAGGCATACGAAAATCAAGTCCGAAAATTGTCGGACTCGCATCCACAAAGTATGGAGGCTCACAAGGACCAAGTCCGAAAATCGTCGGACTCCAATCCACTGGCGTACCGTGCCGAATCGCCGCCCAGGACGGTGGTTGGGAATTATCCTCGTTTTTTGAACGCGGTCGATGAAATGCCGCCCCTCGCTGAATATTTTGTCCCGAAAAAAAGAGTGTTCTGTTGAGCGTGAAACTCCGAAAGGCCGCTCCCAAAGCCCCCGAAGCGCCGCCCGGGTCGTCACTCTCTGTACCCGCGAATACGCATAGGAAGAAGAAATCATTTCCGCTGAGAGCGACGGCCATTACGATCGAGAGCGACCTGAGAGGCTTGTTGGATTCCACGTCTCGCGCCAATGTTGTTCGGAGTCAGTCCCTATTCACTACCTGCATAGCATTCTCACGATCCATCCCGCGAAATATGTGCATTGTATTCTCGCTGTCCAATTCTATCCTAGTCTTAGATCGGGAGCGTATATGCCTTAGTGTTGACGACACAGTTTCCTCGCGAGCCGCGATGAATCTGAAGATAGAGGCGAAAAAGAGCCGCATCACATATGTTCTAATGATCTATGGATGTCACTGCTTTATTTCGATAACAACACAAATAAATAAGGAGGAGCACAGCGCTGATATCATGGTAGGAATTCCTCGCGTTCATATCACTGCTCGGCGTTGTCGCAGTGATTGAAAATCTCTTGCGTAGCCAAGAAGAGTTTTTCACAGAGAAGGAGATTCATCTGAAGTTTTGACACTTCCTCCTCACGACAGTCCCTGACGAGGTAATGCATTCGTAGAGAGTCGAGTCATCTTGACGGCACATCGAGTTTTCTTCTCACCTAACATGATGATGTACACTATACCTCGATGACGATACTATTGAAGTTCCGAAATGCGGGCTACCCACCTGTAGTATCCGTACGGCTTGGTGACTCGATCATCCAGCGCTGCGAAGAGGACGGTTTGGCAGCCTTGGAATGGGGTTCTGACGGCCAGCAAGGAGAACACGGCGAGCGCTGGTAAGCTTATCCATTTGTACAGTGACCAGCGATGCCTGCCAAGGTTTGTCGCAACGATGCCGGGCGATACCGAGGCGCAAATCAGGGATGGAAATCTACCGAGGGAGTGATACACGATTGTTCAAGTCCGGTTATATCACAAGTCCATCACTAGACGGAGCTCCTCTTTCCCTGCCTTAAATCCGATCCGATTCCTCTCGGCCGATGAAACGGCAAGTATCGATTGTCATCATTCATTGACCATATTCCACCTTGTGGGGAAAAGACTTTCTGATTTCAAAGAAACCCGTCCGCGGGCACGAGGAGGATCCAGACTGGTCTCATCAATCTATCTCACGAGGCATCAGGTTCAGGTCGGGAGTCTCATTACCCTAAGCAGTTGCATTCTACACGATTTTCCGTGAGGGGAGGGAGCTGAGATTCAATGTGGGGATTCCATTCCGTGACCCATCATTCTCAACGCACATCCGGGGAGGGGCTGTAGCCTCCTCGAATTCCCCCTGCGACTCCGGAGGCGAGCGTAGCTCAGAGCTGTACTCACCTGCGGCCGATTTCTTTCGTGAACAGCATTCCGGCCAATTTCGAATCGTAATACGCGGCTTTGCTATCATAATTCGCTTCGGTCTGGCACACGTCATGGATGTGGGCTTCACCTGTGATTGCTTGGATCCTGTCAGGCACTTTCGATAACTTGTAGAGGCTCGATGACAGCTGCAATGATATGCCAATGTTCTACTCAATACCCGATCATTGTTTCCCATGATTTCATGAATTTTTACAAAGCACTCACCTGCACCACACGGGGAGCTGAACTCTTCCCCAACAAGTTCAACAAGCCGAGAGTGAGCCGCGCGTGACCAAAGTAATTGACACCCATCTGGAGCTCGAGGCCTTGCTTGGTTCTGCGGACAGAGGAGAATGAATAATTTCGTGGAGAAGATGAAGAAGAGTCCTTTCATGTATACGACGAATCTTCGCTTCGGAAGCCAATTTGAGAAGGTCGGAAGCTTCCGGGACACTTTATTCGGGAAGCGGCGTCTAGCCGTCTTGACTCACTCTGCATAGGGACAGAACGCCACTCCGGCGTTGAGTATCAGCACGTCAATGCGGGGCAGATGCTTCTTACATTGACGACAGAACGCGTCGACCGAGTCGAAATCCGAGAGATCCAGCTGTGAGGCGAGTGGTAGCGTTAGTCAGTAGCGTAGCAAGGCGGGGGCGGGGGGGGGGGCGGACCGCCCCGGGCGGCACTTCCCACGGAGCATTTAGGGGCGGCATTTCGGGGTTTGCATCCAAAAAACGGAGTGTTTTCGAGGAAAAAATATCTGGCGGGGGGCGGCATTTTCGTCGAGCACGGTGAAAAAACGGGAAATTTCGAATCACCGCCCCGGGCAGCACTCCGGCTCGCTACGCCACTGGCGTTAGTCTCCCGTTCGCGAGCTCCCATCGATTCTGTTTCTCCCTGTGTCACGTTTAGAAAGGGAGTCCATACTCGCGAATTCGCCTATGACCTGATCACTGTATCGCTTCTTCCTTTTGGGAGGGGTGACATGTTTGCCGCCAACTAACCGTGAAAGACATGACCCGAGTGTCTTCATTCCGCTGGCGGAGTTCCTCCGCGAGAAGTTTCGCTTTCAAAACATCGCGACAGGCGAGAACCACGGTGGCTCCTCTAAGATGCAGCTGCTCGGCAGTGGCCTTCCCGATTCCTGGAGAGGATATGAAGGAGTTTTTATTCTGAATTTGTGCATATATACTTCATCACGTGGCGAGTTCCGCGAAAGACCATGAGGGGTGAACCGGACGCACCTGAAGTTGCTCCCGTAATGACGACGATTAGTCTCGAGCAGTCGACATGTCTAGTGAATACTCCCCATCGATATGAGACCAATTTCCGTACCGCATACAACGTCACGACTGTGATGGCGGCTCCCTTACACAGAGTGGTGATCATCTTGGGTTTCAAGCCAAGGCTGCCGAAGTCAACGGTGGGGGGAATCTTCTTTGGTTTTATTCTGTTTCTCCTGCTGTGTCCTCAAGCGACGGCGAGCCTCTTCGTCCAGGCTCAAGTAGAACTTCAGCTCGGTCTGAACGAAGACCCGCACACTGGGATCGGAGATTTTCTGCACCTTCAGAGTAATCAGGGTTGATTTCTCGCGGAATACAATTTCTCTCTTCCGAAAATTCGAACATGCACGAGTTGCGTCGCGCATCCCGGATCTCGATATGCCTTCTCGATCTGATAGTAATATACCTCTGTCAAGGCAACCGAACCGCCGTCCCTGTAGAAGTCGACGAGAGCCTCGGCGTACCTGCGTGATAGATGATGTAATAATAATTCGACTTTCTCAACGACGGCTCTGTGAGTTTAGTCTTGCTCTTGGTTTCTTGAAAATCATGGATCCCCCACTCTACCTCAGATAAGTGCATTCACTGCAGCCTGATCCGCAGCATTCGTCCGGTGCCGGAGGACTCGGCTTCTCTCCTCTCAGTGCAGACCGACACGTTTGGGATGTACCGAAGAATCTGGTTGCTTGCAGAAGGCTCTGTTTCAACATCAAGATACCTGCAGGGAAGCGTCATTCTTCAGAATTGAGCTCGAAGACCGTTTCCCCTCTTTCCTCGGAGCATAACCGCTGTCCGCTCTATTCAACATTCAAGACATCGATCTGGTCTGTCGATCGACTCCCTCGCTCTTTCGACGGCTCGGAGCTGGGATCATACATTTCAATAAATACGCGCGAGAAACTTTCAGCGAGGCATTAACGGCGCTGCTGACTTTCTCCTTCTGGCTGCTGCGTCAGGATCGCCAGCAAAGTCCCAAGCGGAGAGACGCGCACACGGGTTTGACGGGCATCTGCAGTTTCAGTCTCTGATCTCTTTGATGACCCCGAAGGGTTCGTCCGAGGCTCCCCCGGCGAGACTTCGGACACAAGACTCCAATTCAACCGAAATTACGATTTGTTCCCGCTCACGAAAATCGCGATTTATCTTTTGGGGACATTAAACCATTCTCGGCGAGTTCGTTGCTAACTTCTCGTATACTTCCCAACACAGAGCACGACTCTCACTTTCCGTTTGTCCCGCTTCGAGGCGAAAACGTCGTCCACTGATCTCCTTTCCTCGTTTGATCCGAATATTTCTCCAGACCAGAACCAAACGCTGCGAGCAAGCCCGCAGAGGTCTTACTGAGCTCCTTCTCCCAAGCCTCCGAACACCAAGCAATGGGAAATAAGATGGCAGAACACAATATACTAATCACGGGAGATGAAGAGGGCCCCGATTGAGTATCCTATGGGATTCAGTTGATCTGATGCTCTCACGAAGGCGGTCTCTTCGCGAACATCGGGGAGCGCTCCGCTCGTATGTTCGGAGTCGCTCCTAAGGTATCCGACACGACGACTAAATCACGCAGCCTCAGTTGGACTGATTCTCCCATCTTACCTTCGGAGACAAGAGCGCGAAGCTTGACAATGCCGAATGTTTTCCCGATGGGAAACCACGGCGATCGTCGTTTGACTTCGAATGTTCGAAACCTCGCGGAAGACACAAGATGCGGAAATGGCGCCTTTCTAGGATGAAGGATTCTCGATGATCACCCGTTGCGAGGATTGGGCAGAGTCGTTCGGAGGGAAGCCGCACGGCTCACCTCACTCGCTCAGCATTCCCCCGTTTTCCACGGGGTGAAGCGTCAGATTTCACGGAGGCATTGACGAGCCTAGTCGTCGAGCATTCTGATGCGCTCTATCAGTCAGCGATCGAGATTTGCTCCTTCACGGGATAAACATATCGGCGTCCTCTTCCGGCAAACCTGCGACGGATGGGGAGCTACTCATGGAGCGGGTACCGGGGGGATCGAAGCGGGGATATTCTCGACCGTGAATAATTTCCTCCGTCGGAAGACCCCCGTCGATACTCCGAAGCTCACTGACGACGTTAAGTGCTCCGAGCGCGGGAGAGCGATAGAGGCAGCCACTTCGACTCCCAGTCTCTTCTTCCAGCCCTTGAACAGCGTAGGGCAGGGCAATGCGCGCCCCTCCGTGCGTAGCCCCATCGGGGACAGAAAGCTTCTGAAACTCAATTGTACGCGAACCTGATTGGAACCATCGACAAGATGGTAGCTCCGAGCTCTCGTTCAATGCACTGGAACGATGGATTGCGCGGACGAGGCCAGCCTGTTGAGTTGCAGCCTGGGAACCGAGTGAACTTATAGCTCATAACATAAACCATAACAAAACCACTAATAATGCAATTCGTAATTGCATGGATTCGGTATTCTGCGTTATTCCATGAAGGTGAGCGCTTTTTCGCGACGAAGATTTCCTCTGCTGCGATAAACATATTTTAATTTAGATTAGGCTCGCGCAATGTCTTTCGGCATCGCTGCTGCTCCGCTTGAATCCGTTCCTGGGATCTCGATTCCTGGAAATCGATGACGTTTGCATATGGGGCACAGCATGTGGGTACAATACGACGCATTCTTCCCCACTGGAACGTTCCACTTACTTGCTCAGCGATTCCCTACATCACTCCCTTCGAACCTTCCGCGTCACTTTTAGCCGTCGCGTCTTTCATCGGCTTTCTTCATGATGTTCGATAATCTTCCCATCTCCTCCATTGATGCGCTTCGAGTGGATTTACTCCTGACTGCGCGATTCCTAGCGGTGTCTGCGACTTTGCCACCCTCTTCCTTCAGGAAGTCTGCCGCTAGCTCCGTCTGCTCGGCCAACGCATCCATCATATGCTTCCGATCATTTCGTATGTTTCCGAGAATCTCCTTCTTGGCATTTTCTTCGAGCTCAGATGCGAGCGATGATTCCGCTGCTTTCGAACCCGCGCCGGTCTTCGCGGCGGTATCCGTACCGCTTTTCGCCGGGAGCTTCGCCGCGGCTCTTTCCGAACGTTCTGTTGATGATCCAGCTGCGACTCCTTTCGTGCCTGCCCACCTCGCAGACCGTATTTTTTCCAGGTATGCTTTCTTCTCCGCCGAGTCTACGACACCCCCAGGGAAACTGTGTCGAAGCGACGCGTCCTCTCCTTTGTTCATCAAATTCCGGAGTGCTCTCGATTGTTCCGCCAGTTGTTCGGCTGTAGCTGCCGCGTTGTCCTTGATATTCTCGGCCCGGCGGACCTGTTTCATGATCGTCCGCTTTTCCGTCTCGGTCACTGTACCACGCTTCGTTCCCTCGGCCAAAAAGTCCATGGCATCCTCTATATCCGTCTCCAAGACTTCTCTCCTGCTCCTCTCTGCTTTAGAGCCATTCGTCGGCAGAGCACTGGCAGCAGACGCTTTAGCCGAAGCCTCCTTCTCTGAATCACGCACGAATCTCAGAATTCCGAATATTCCACCGAACGTCAATAGACCTCCTTGAGAAGCAGCCGGCGGTGCAGACCCCGCTCTTTTTTTGCGCGTGGCGGTAGGTGCACTCTCGGAGGATGCCAGAGCTCCTCCCGGTCCTTCGCCCTTCCTCGGCGCAATAAGGGGGGCACCTGCTTCTTTGGGAATTTTCTTGTAGATGTTCTTGAGTCTGTTAATGATCTTCGCAAAATCATCCGATGGAGCCCCGTCTCGGAGTTCGGTATCGCGCTCCATTCTCTCGAGAACTTTGATCGAGAGCGCCAATCGTTTCGCTTCATCCTGCGTCAGCCTGAAGTTCGGATCTTGCTCCAGGACCTTCAGATCCCTTTCGAAATCCGCGCAAGGAGCTTTCATCGAGGCTGCAATGGCGCTCCTGACTTCCTTCTTCTTCGCAATAATTGCCTTCAGTTTCTCCTCCTTAGTCCGTGGCCGAAAGTCTTCTTCCGAATTCGGGTCGGCCTCTGTACCCTCAGGAGCTGCTTGGAAAGGATCGTGAGCCAAGTCCCAAGCCAATGGACGCGCTCCCGGATTTTTCGGACAATTTTCGTATAGGTCTCGCATTTTCTTGATGAGCCTGGTGAGCTCGTCCGGCGCTCCCCCGTCTGGGCTCCGGATGGACTTATCTAATCTGTCGAAACTAATTATTTGTTCCGCCCATGGTCTCCGGAGCTCTTCGGACAGCACGAAATTCGGAGCACGCTGCATCTCCTTCAGAGCTCGTTCTGCATCCGCCACGATGGGTGCGTAGGCGGTGGCCAAGTTACTCCTTGTCTTCTTCGTTATCGCATCCAGTTCTTCATCCGTTCCCCAGGGAGCTCTCGTTGGCGGAACACCCGAAGTCGCCGCCGAGGATCCAGGCGCCGCTCGCGACGCACTGAGAGCTGCCTGAAGAGTCGGGAAACGCACTCTCGAATGATCCAGGAAATCTCTTAAGCGTTCTCTGATATTCTGCGAGATCAGCGCTAACTCGTCCGGTGTCTGCTGGCCTGGAACCCGACTCCCATTTTCCAGCTCTTCCAGAGTTTCGATTTGACGCGTCAGCATCGCCCTTTGATCTGCCGTAACCACGGAACCCGGTTCATCCGTCGTTTTCGCCAAATATTTCTCCAGACGCTTTGTAGAGGCGGCGAGCGAGTCCGCGAGGTCCTTCCTAGCCTTCATCCTTAGTGCATCTGATTCTCCACGTTTGTCCGCAAGACTTTCCGGCGGAGCAGCTGACGGCGGTCTTGCGGCTGCGTTAGCGCCTGAGGCGATCGCTCCAGAGGCCGACGTCGCGTATCCCTCATCTTCACCGGAGGACTCATCGAGCATTTCGGACACCTTCGTCCCCATCATTCTGGCTTTAAATCCTTTGATCCTTGTCGCACTTCGCTTCCCCCTAGCTTTCTCGGCCTTGTCGATGGCTTTCTTCAACTCTTCCGTCTTCTTGGCGAGCATCTCCGGCGGGGCGTCGGCATCGTCCTCCAAAGCCTCACCCTCGGCGACGATGTTCAGCAGGTCGTCGACGATGGCATTTGGCATTCTGTCCTCGCCGCCCGCATTCACGAGGTCCTGTTCAATGAGAGCCAAAGCCTCCTGCCCAGTCTCCTCGAAATCTTTCTTCATCGCCGCTCGTTCGCGACCCGTTTTCGTATGTTTGTCCAATCTCTCAGTGAGTTTCGCTCTATAAGCTCCTATCATCTCCGTTGCCTCACGCTTTCGCGTCGTGAGGGTAGGGAGAATGTCCTCCTCGAGTTGTTTGAGCGTCTTCTTCTGGAGGTACTCCTCCTCGGGTGGCAAGTCGGCGTCTGGTGGCAGTTCGTTCAATTTTTGTTCGCTCGATCTGCAGAGACATTGTGCGCGGGAGAAAATGGCATTCTCGATCACGCGAGCCGCTTCTTTCTTCTCCTTCCAGCTCAATTTTGCCGGCTCCGCGGCTCTGCCCGATTTTCCCTGCACTCCCGCGGCGGCTGCGCTCCCCGTACCTACTCCCGGACGTTTGTACAATTTTCCTTTGAATTTCGCTCTGTAAGCCTCAATCAACGCTTTGGCCTCTTGTTTCCGCGTGCCCAACTCAGGCAGCATGGTCTCTTGGAGGCGCTTCAGGGTTCTTGTATGAAACATCTCCTCCTCCGGCGGTATATCGGTGCTCGGCGGTATTTCGTCCAATTTCATCTCACCCGATCTGCAGAGGTATCGGACCCTGAAAAACTTATCATCCTCAATTTTTCGAGCAGGATCCTCCTCGCCCTCGCTCGACTTAGCCGCTCCGGCAATCTCGCTAGACTTCGGGGCCTGAGCTTGTCGCGCCGCGAACGCAGCTTTCATACGATTCACGAACGCCTCGTGTCTCGCTCTGGCGGGTCCAGGAAGTGGTTCCGATTTCTCTCCTAGTCCCCCTCCGGTCGCTGCGACTGCTCTATCCGCTCTCGCTTTCAAGGCCGCTCCATAGGCATCTTCAAAGGCTTTCTGCCGCCCAGCAGGGGTCCCAGAAATCGCTGCCGGGAGTCCGCTCGCTCCGGCCGCTCTGTCCGGTTTCCCTGTGCGTCCTTGTACTTTACCCTTCCTGGCGGCGGCGACTAATCTCGCTGCTTCGGCGTTCCCCGCTGAGGCCTCAGCTTCCATCAATGCGTCGAATGCTTTCTGTCTCTCCAAATGAGCCTCAGTCGCCTGTCCGGAAGTCGCAGAGGTCGCCGCTCTCCTCCCGGCTGTCGCCGCGCCTCTTGCCCCCCTCGCGTGGGCTCCTCTCTCGTTTCCTGATAAGGCCTCAGCTGCCATCAATCCGTCGAATGCTCTCTGTCTATCCAAATCAGCTTGTCCGCTCGCTCCGGTCGCTCTGTCCGGTTTCCCTGAGCGTCCTTGTACTTTACCCTTCCTGGCGGCGGCGACTAATCTCGCTGCTTCGGCGTTCCCCGCTGAGGCCTCAGCTTCCATCCATGCGTCGAATGCTTTCTGCCTCTCCAAATGAGCTCCAGTCGCCTGTCCGGAAGTCGCAGAGGTCGCCGCTCTCCTCCCGGCTGTCGCCGCGCCTCTTGCCCCCCTCGCGTGGGCTCCTCTCTTGTTTCCTGATAAGGCCTCAGCTGCCATCAATTCGTCGAATGCTCTCTGTCTATCCAAATCAGCTTCAGTAGGAGTTTCGAGATTTCCTCGAGTCGCCGCTGTCCTTCCCGTCGTTCCCGCGAATTTCGAGCCCGCCTCTCGAGCCGCTCGGGCTCTACGCTCCTCTTCGAAGATGTCCACGAATATCCTGTGTCTCTCTGCGGCAGATCCGGAATCCTCGGAGGCTTTTTCGGCTGCCTCACCGTAGAGAGCCACCTCCAGAGCTTTCTTCTGTGAGCCTTTCAGAGAAAACTCTCTCGCGAGAATATCCGCGGACTGCGCTCTTAGCTCCTCCCGCGTGTCTCTTTCTAGTTCTTCAATAGTGAAGGCGTCCGTCTTGCCATTCGCTCGGGATATTCTTCCGTCTTTGAGTGCGTCTTTCCTTCGAGCCCCTCCCGCTTGGTCATCCGAGATACTCTCTCCCGCTCTGCCGGATAAAGCCTTTCGGATATCTTCCTTTTGGGTCGGAGTCAAGTTGAAGTCCTCCGCGAGGATTTCGGGGGCACGCCTTCTGAGGTCTTGCTGCATAGCTCTGTTAAGCTCCTTCCGGGCATGGTCGTCCGACTTGCCTTCCGTCTGTGGCTTGCCGCGGTCTCTGGCACCGGGACCTCCCCAAGCCGTGGCCCCAGGATCCTCCTGCGATCTGAAATAGGGGAAGTGAACTCCGAAAATTTTCTCAGTACCGAGACAAGCTTGGCGAGATGAATTTTCCTGGAGCGATTTCTCGAGCAAAGCCTTGCGGAGTTGGAGTCCCGAGACGGGACGACAACCCAGGCGGCGGAAATTCGGACCACAGCTCCGTAGCCGTGATGGCAAAGGAATTTCTGAGGTTCAATCGGAAGAGAGTTTGCAGATCTCAACGCTCGGAGGAATAAACCTATTTCCTAGCAATACTTCTGGGTGATTCTTGCAGCTCGTCGTGCGTAAGGGTATATGAGGGTGAGGGATTGGGGACGCTCTTTTGAGAATCGACTCGCGGAATGGCATTGCGACCGTGGCGCTTCTGACGCAAGGTGAAGAAACACCCCGTGCTCACCGAGTAGGGTCAGGGTTTGTGTAGCCTGAGTGAAAATTCCCTCACGAGATGCCGTTGGATCAGGGAAAAATCGAACTCACCTCCGAGCGAGAAGCTCATCCCTCCGAGCGTGAAGCTCATCCCTCGGAGTCGAAACGCTGGGTCCTGTCCTTCCAGCCACCATGTCATCTATGAGCATGTGACTTTTACCCTGCCCGATGGCTCGTTGCGCTCTCCTCTCGTAATCCTCGAGTAATTCGGGTGTCGCTATCCTCCACTCTGAGCCGATCTTGACTTGCGCGTTCAGTCGATTGTAGGTTTGAAGACGATCGGAAGTCAGTGGTTGCCATTCTCCCGTGAGAGCGTTCTGTACGTTCAAGTTCCCCGAATCGACTTCGTTGAGCAGAGCTCCGAGTTGCATCTTCCGTGTACTTCCGGCGTCGGAGATCGTCACACCATCTCTGGTATGTCTTATGAATTGATTAAACCTGTTCATGTGTTGGAGGAAGGTTCTGTGCCTCGAGCCGTCAGCGAATTCCGCCTCGGCGTATTTTGCGTCGCGTACTTTATGTTTCAAGGTCCCGTCTGGGTTAACTAAGAAGTTGCCTTCCTCCAGAACCCTTTGCTGCTTACGCCAGGTCTCGACTACCTGAGACGCCGGCTTCCAATCGCCATTCTCATCGAGCACGGAATAACGTTGAGCCTTTCGCTGAACTTCCGCGTGCATCGCGTTCAGCCCGTCTATCGACACCTCAGCGATTTCTCCGTTGGGCTTCTTCACTTTGAAACGCTGTTCACGGGTGAGTCCCTTGATCTCGTCGACTGTCTTGAAGCTCTCCCGGCCCATGTGTTTGACGAGGAGATGGACTTTGGGAGGTGTGTTTCCCCCTTGTAGCGTGACGTCTGGCGTCGGATTTACAGCCGTATTGAAAACCCACGAAAGTGAGCATAGTGCGATCAGATATCCGAAAAGCCACCGGTATGGAGGTCGTCCTGGTCCGGCCCCATGTAAAACAAATTGTCGCGAATGCACCACAAGTGCAAGAAGACCGCTTGTAAGCAGCGCAAAGATTGCGAAAAGGTCCATCACCGTGACCTCTCGCATCAACTGATGCTACGCGACTGATAACTTCGGAAGAATTTCGTTATCACAAATCTAATAGATATCTCTATTCCAGTACGGTGAGGGTCATATATCGTAGATGAATGATCGAATAATCATATTATGAAACTATGAATAATCAGTTGGTTATGATCTACGATGGGAAATCAAAGTCCCAACGAGAGATGGTTCCCGAGGCCAAGTTTTCCCTTATATGTCCCAATGGTGGTCAGATGTTTGCGGAAGACACCTACTGTTCGCCACCGGCCCCTCTAGCCTTCCGCCTTCCGGTATTTCGATCCCGAGGGGGGAGGGGGACAGGGGAATCCTCGCTCAATCAGGAAAGACGATCAATCACCGCACACCCAATCTTAGTGATGCTTAGTGGAATCGGGGTTTTTCATCGGGATGTCTCGTCGGCTCAGAACGCGACACGAGTTTGGACAAAATGATTCCTCGACCTAAAAAAAGACCGTCTCGGCCCCTAGCACGACGAACTCCTCCTCTCATTTTTATGCTATTTCGGGGAGCCCCAAGGACAAAAACGATGCGTCGGGAGTCTCGATAGGATGAAGCACCGATTAGCCGATCTCATGGAAGTCCAGGCAGTCCTCGCAGCATCCCGACTTGGTCCCAAATACGTCCTGACAGCATTTGTTCAGGAGTTGGTCGATGGATTATTATTCATCAAATGCATGAGCTGAAACCATCATCGATTTATTCAACGAAGCTCTAGCATGTTCACGTAACACTTGTCCGACGATTGCCTCAGAAGAGCGGGGAGGCGAGTGCTTTTCTTTCGGCGAATACTGCATTGCTGTCTCAGAGTCGAACGATCGCTCACGGAAGAGCGGAATGAAAATCCCCCAATCGAGTCTCTTCCAGGTTACGGCCTTGACTAAATTGAATATCCGTCAACAGTCGCCCGGCTTGATGCCGTGGACCGCTCATCATACAGTGTCCGAGCTGCGCTGCAATCGATCCGCTTACAGACCGGACGAAAAATGGTCTCTACGTTTGGATTTTCGATCGTGGTGACAAGTTTCGCGGCCACTTATGCTTTGATGCCGAGCGTGGACCATGTGAGTTAATGATGATGTCCTGTCTAATCCAGGTGCTCTGAGGTCTCAAAGGACGAATAATTGTGCCCGCCCCGATCTGTCAGGAGCGATTCTCCCCGATCCACACGAAGGATCCGGAGCATGACTCGGCAATGACTGTGGAGTGTAATTTCAGAAAGTGATCGCATGTCGTATGGAGTTGTCGACGAGAGCGTGGACCCGGTTGGCTGTGGAAGCCCGTAAAGTAGAGGATTCCATCAGAGACAAGTATCTCACTGAAAAGGCACTTTTTGGCGCCTTATACCGGCAATTCAAAGGGAGCGCCGACCTTTTCAACAGGTATTATCAACCTGAGTAATTTTGATTCCGAACTGAACTCGACATGAATTCGCACAATCGGGGTGATCGTGGTTCTCAACAAATCTTAAGGTTTCTCCGTTCTCTCCTAGTTTGCCGGATATCAGCATGCTCAGCCCCGAAGCTTTGTGGCAGCTCAATCAAAACTGCGTCCTGGCCCCGTCTGGCTTGGACCTGCTCCTCGGCAATGCAGAGATCTCGTACCCCGAATTCTACCAAAGGTTAGCACCTCCCTCGTTCCCACGTGAGGCAGAGCAAATTATTCTCTGCGTAGTAAGCGGCGCCGGAAGTTCTATTCGATGAAGAGATTCTTCGTCCCTCGGTCCAACCCCTATAGTTCGTGAGATCATTTCCCTCGTGCTTTCTTGAGCTGACCGTGAGCTCCGAAGATCCCGTAGATTGTGCTTGGCTTCACTGCCGGAGAAACCTCCGGGGCAGCCGCTCCAACGATACTCACCGGGGCCGCTTGGCAGTTGGCACCTACTCTCTCAGGGATCTGTCCATCTGTCGATTCAGCGATCCCTATCTTGAGGAGTCCGAGCCCGGCTTTTGCGGAGCCCGTAAGTTCGACGAGGCTCCCCTCAGGCATTCCAGACCTTCCGCTCCTTCACCCAAGGAGTTGCGTTCTCTCGAGCTCGGAGGGGCCTCGAATCCTCCATGCGAGTTGCAATATAAATAATTGCACAAGCTCCTCGAGGATGGGTTCAGCGTCTCTGCCGACTTTGATCGAACATCCGCCTACGACCTCAATGAATCCCTAGAGTCATTCGTGGGCGACACGGCACACGAACTCTGATCCCTGTAGCACTCAGATCACGCTCACCGATTATTATGGACTTCGAACGGTGGGCACCGACCCTTGTTCAACGCCTTCGGTCCTCGGAGTATTCGAAGTAAGGGGCTCCGGGTATCTTCACCCGATCGGATAGTCCGATCCGTTTCCTCCGTGACGAAAAAAACGTCAAGTCCTTCCTGGTGAACGTGACTGGTCACATCGTGCTTGCCATCCCAGGTATCAGACTGATTTCCGCACGATGCGCGACATCGTTGGGAAACTCAGAGATGACATCAAGAACTGCGGAGCTGGACTTCATAATCAAGGAACCTACTGAGAATGTGTTGTCATCGAGAAAGCTTCTCCCGAAGTTATCTTTGAATAAAGGAAGAAATAATGTGAACGAACCGTTGGCGTCATATGTAGGTATGATACTCTAGGGCTAGCACTCGGTTTCCCCTGGTGTTTGTATGTTTATTCGTTTATTCATTCATTCATTCACCCCATCGGCACGGGAGTCAACAATCAACAATATGCGAGTTATCATGATGTCAAAGATATCAGCAATCTGACGAGCTTGATAAAATTTGGATAACTCCGGAGGCAACAACTGGTCCACGCCCAAAAGGGTTAGTTGGATGATTTCTAACGCTCTAGAGCCTTCGGGAAGGCCCTCGCCGCATATGCTCGCGGGAACTATAATATAGAAATGAATATTTACAATGATCCCAATAATTGCGTCTGTCTAAGGATGCAAGTATGAACAAATGGCACATGATTCCAGAATGATTTTCTGATGATTGTTCAATCGATCGATCGATAGACCCACTGATTCTAGGAATCCGATTGGCATCAACCCGTCTGAATTTCAGTTCGATTGATTATTCGTTATTCACAGTGCACCGCGACCAAGAGGAGCTTATATGGAAGGGTTTTCTTGCCGAATGATCCGCATGCCTAAGCAGAGTTCAGTTTGTTAAATATTCAAATCATCCAAGGCAGACGCTTCAATTTGAGCTCTCGCTGGAGGGGATCTTTCGGCGGCCATCGTCGTGATTCCATTCATCGGAATTCATTCATTTCGAAGATCGATAATCCACCGCGCGATCCTGGTATGGCGAATAGCGAGCCGAATTCCTGGGTTGGCTATGGAAACGGTTAGTTTCCGCGACGAGTAGTCGTTGAAGGTCTTGGTAAGTTGGGTCGTTGGCGAAAAACTCATCGACCGTGAATGGTCCGGGTCGGATCGCTCTCTGATTGGGCGGGATCCGCGGTATTTGTTGCGGCGAGGGATTCGGAATCGATGTGTCATAAGCTCGATCTGGCACGAACTCCTGTTGTCTTTGGGGAGAGTATCGCGCCTGGTACGATGAAAGGCGACCTCCCGGGAGGTTTATGACCTGGGCGATCTCATCGGTTTTCGGTAGATGCTGGAGGTGTTCGGGAGTCGGGAAATAATTCGAGGTGGTGATAGGTCTGAATCCGGTCACTGCCTGAGGCGCACTGAATGTCGAGGGCTCCGTGGGAGAGAACGGAATCGGTTGCGTCGAAACGGTTCCTGCAGCTGTACTGGGTTTCCTCCTGCGTTTCTTGCCAACTCTCCTGGCTTCGGTGACGGACGGAGTTGGCGTGGTGAATCGAGTCGTTTGGAAGTAGATTATGGAAACAGGTGTCACGGTTGTCCCGTCGGAGCTCTCGGACTCGGGAGCGGCTGTTGAGGCGGTGGGTTTTTTCTTACGCTTGACGATTTTCTTCGGGCTTCGAGACGCTGGCGGAACTTCCGTGGACGAGGGTGCATCGGTCGGTGCGCTAGGTAATGGTGTTGTAGTCAGCAGAGCTGTCGTCACTGGCCTAGAAGTTCCGATTCTAGTGACGACGCGCTTCTGGGAAATTCTGGGCTGCGTTGAGGATTTCACGTCGCTCGGTTCAGGTGTCTGAACCAATGTTGTCGAAGTTTCCGGCAACCGAGTGTTGGACAACGTAGATGACGAGGTTGCCGGAGACGTCCTGGATAGCTGAGGATTTCTCCTGGTTGGTGATTTCGTCGGCTCGAATTGGGCCGAGCTCGAAGTTGGGATCACAGATCTCAGAGTCGGGGCTGCGGTGCTCGGGGCTCGAGAAGGTGCCAGAGCTACTCGGGCTCTGAATAGGGGTCGAGCTGGAGTTGCGGTCGTTGTTGGGGCTTCTGAGGTGGATTTCCCGATTTCAGGAGCGGCAGTCGATCTCCGAATCCCCCCGGGACGACGGACCTTCCTCGGAGTTTCTGAGGTCGCCTCTAATGACGGTGCGACGGTGGTTTGTATTTCGATGCTCTGGGATTTTTGGGGGTTGTCTGGAAATTGAGTTGAACTTTCATTAAACCCGGGCATAGAGATAGGGAGGGCAAGGAGTATTTTTATGGTCCATCGACTGGCTCTCAATTAAGGGAGAATAAGAGAGGAGCAAAAGGAAGGATGGAGTGTTCGAGTCTGAATTTACGTACTGAGTCGCCGAGTGATCAGGACCTTTGATCGTTCACGTGGGGCGTTCGTCTTTGGGGCTCGACCGTTGGATGCTCCCTTCTTCTTCGGCGTCTCAACAGTTGTTTCCGCCTCCGTCGACGGTTTCACTGTGGTTTTCTGAGCTTCTCTGTCCTTCTTGAGCACCTTCCTGCTCTTGACCTTTATGACCTTACGCCGAGGTCTCGGTGTACTCGAGGACTTCCCTGCAGGTGTGCCCACGGCGTTCTGGAGTCCTTGAAGTGTCTGCGCCTTGATCTCTCCCCCGTTTTTGAAAACCTCGCCATCACTGGTGCTCACGGAGCTCGCGACGCTCACGACCGGATTCGGGGAGTCGCTGGTGAACCTCTGGTTCTTATAGATGAAGACCGGGCTGAAATCAGGTGATGAAGACAAGGTGGTATCTCGCGAAGGCGACGGAGTAACTGTTTCTGTTCTCGCAACGCCATCCTCATAAACGGTGACCGTCTTCGCCGTCTGAGTGACAACTTTGGTGAAGAATCCCGGCTGGGTGAGGTCTACGGGAACGCTCGGGGTGGTGGTCTGGATGAAGAGTATCCTGAACGGAGTTTCCGTGCCATCATCTGTTTGACCTAAGTTCGGATAGGAGGTCACGTAAGAGGACGGTTTCCTTGTCGTAGTCGTCGTGCTCCTGGGGGTTGTTGATGGGGTTGTGGACGACGATCGGGCTGAAGTGAACTTCGCGAGGATTTCAGCCTTGGTCAGCTTCTGTTTCGTGGGCTCAGGCGCGTCATAGTTGCTATTTATCGGCCGGTGGTACTTGTCGAGTACGGTGATCAGACTGGCGGGGACGAGGTCTGTCAGAGCTCGTTGGTATTTCGGTCGGCCTTCCGTCTGATCGGGTGTGGTCTGGCCCAGAACAAACGAAGACACCGACAATATAAGGAAGACTCTCCGCATTCTCGGGGCTGTTCAATCACTCGATTGATGTCATGTCGGTTCCTGGAAGAAAAAGAAAATAAATGTAGACGCCAGAACCAGGAGGGATCGATTTTGTGCTGAGACAATTGGGGACGGCTCCCACTATTGCCGTTCCCCGGCGGAGATTCGATCGCTCAACAAGGCTCGATAGTATCCGCGAGAACGGCCTCAATGGCCGTACGAGGCGTGGATGAGGATTTCTTTGTGAGCGTAGGATTCAAGAATATGAGAAATCACAGAAGTCGCAGCAAATGATCCATTGACACTCGCTCCGAAGACGTGGATTGCTCCATCACTTGTTTGACTTCCTGACTCGCTGACCGGGCTAGCGACCGAGCTGTCGGCAGACCGACCGGCCGTTGAGCTAGTCGGATTCATTCATGGAATCGCCCTTTGAACATCGTTGACGATTCGAAGGGAAAAACAAGCCATATCCACAGAGTTGAAGTTGTTTTCCGCCTTCCGAGTCGTCTTCAAATTTTTGCGTGGTATCGGCCTCGGCTCCCGGTTTCTTCCGACTGAGCCCCCGTGAGGCTCCGCTTTGGGGACTTCGGCAACTTCCAGCGAGCAAGACGAATTATTGAAGGAGTGTCATCCGTCAAAAACCGCGTCCCTCACGCCGATTTTCGGACATCCAATGTCAGTGCTCGGCGTAGGGTGCTGTGGCTGCTGCTGCTCAGACCGTAGTCTATGACCGACCAATATTCACATTCATCTCCGGAATGAATTCTTTCATTTCCCGCGTCCCGGGCTTCCGAGTTTCCACCGGAAGGAGGGATGGGCTAGCCAGCCGATTCTCCCCGGTGCGATGATCAGACGTAATTCTTCAGAGAAGCGGAATTCTCCTCAAGTATTCCAGTTCCCGCCATGCTCGGGGGAATTCGGCGAGTCCGAATCGATCTTCACGGGGATACGGAAATTCTGTACAGATCCGTTGCGGGACTCGCAGCTGAACTGCATTCCGCTGTTACACTCCGGGGTTCGCTTGGACTGGGAGCGCGTCAGAACGGCGCGGCGCGACCTCAGACTAATAGACTGCATTGGTTGTGTCGAGGATTCGGGACTGGACTGCCGCCCCTGAGGGATATCTTGTCGATCGCATGGCTTCCGCCGGCGGTACTCGAACTCTGTCATTGGCACCAAAGTAGTTGACTGTCTGAGAAAATAGAGCATTGTTGTAAACTTCCCGTTCCCACCTTCTTGTTCAAACCACCGGATCCAAGACGAGAGCGATTGCAGGTATTCGCCGATCGCGGAGAAAATGCTGTGAGCTGTGAGCATCCAAGCTGCTCGATGCGGGGATAAGAAAATCGCAGTTTTTGGCTCTGGGGCATCTTGATATTATTGGCCCGCATTTGTGACCATTCCGGCCGCGCCGTCGATATCGACCCAGGCAAGAACGATATTCCGGTCGAAACGTCACCTTGATTATTCTCTAAGATTTCTATCCTTAGTAGCTCCGAACGGACTACCCGTACGGCAAGAAGTTCCATTCTGGTAATTAGCTGGGATATGGGAATCTGCTTCGTTATGCGTTGATTGCGCAATCAGCTCCCCGAGGTAGCGGGTAACAAACTCACGAAGAGGTGATGATGAAGTTTGACTCGCAGGCAGTCGAGAGAATAGCGTTGTAGTAATAACGAGAACAATGATAACAGTCCCGCAGACTTGTATTTTCTCGACCTTGGCTCGAGGAGCTCCGTGATTGATGAGAGTGATGACTTGCATTCCGAAGTCTTGATAGTCTCCTCACGCTGTACCAGGAGGCAGCGGGTGACCACACAGTGGAAAGCTGTGGGAGACCTAACTTTTTTCGGAATTTGAGAACCGCGCTCCAGACGTGCCATGGAAGTCGCACAATCAGGCCTCAGGATTTGACGGATTTCGGATTGCCAAGTCTCTCACGGATTTCGAATTCGAGCCCGTCCCCGATTGAGACTCTCGGACGGACGGACGGACGGACGATATGAGGTATATGCTGATTGGATTCCCGAAACCGCAGAATCGCCACACAAGCGCAAACCCGTTCGATTCGAGTCCCCACACCGTGGGAACCCCTGCGCCAGAAGTTCCTTATCTGACATTGAATAAGTTCTCAGAACTTCGTCCAGCTCCTGAATCTTCTGGTTCGCGAGTCGTCGTCATTATCATCCTGCGAGAGTTTATAACTTGCACAAGCGAGAAAATCGTCCGATCCGGCAGGAGGAGCTTTAGGATGAGAGAAATTATGCGGTCTCTTACCCCGAGGACTTAATGCATGAAAAAATCCCAGAAAGTTTTCTTTTCCAACACACGCAGTCAACTTCCGCCCGGCTAGGAGTATCTGCATGTCGGAGGCGGGACCTCAGGGAGGTGAAAACGGAACAATGGGAGCGGTCTTCGGAAATGCGATAATTACGCTTTGCGAATCGTCAACGATCGATCTTATCCACGCCTCTGGAGTCATTGATTGGCTCTTGGCTGAGGTGCCACAGCGCAGAGAGAGCGGTCGAATTATTAATCTTATCTTCTGTAGCCCTTCCTTTACTATTCGCCCGCTTTCTCAAATCAAGGTCCGCAATAAGATTGTTTTTACTAGCGTCAATCGCTCGGATCGCATTCACGAATATGATTTCGAGACGCACAGAATCGCCGACAGTTTACTGCGATTGGATGACTCGTCAAATGCGTATTTTTTCTCACTTTAGCAAATGTCTCGCGCTTGCCTAGCGGCGATAGACGCAGGAGAAACCGCGTTTTTCCGATTCCAAAATGGCTCAGAAGACGAAAGCCATGAAGCAGGAAGGCGGACTTGTAGAGATTCAACGCAGAAGTTTCATTCGAAATTCATTCTATACGCGGATGGGCTCATTTAGATGACGATTCAGAGAAGTGACGGGGGATAAAAAAGTTCCGATGAAAATGATCGAAGGAGGAGAGCTATTCTCATACAAAGACATCGTCGGCAGCGAATTGAGCCTGAGAGTGTCTCTTCCCTCTTTCAGGGAAATATATTCGAGAGATTTATTGAGGCTGGGGAATGGGGAATGCGCGCATGTGGTTCCGACTGACAAAGTGAGGTTCGAACCGACCAGGAAAAACCATCGGAGGACGCAGCCAGAACGTACCAGAAACGATCATTCCCTAAAGGCAGCGAATCGCCCGTGAGTCTCCCTTTTCCCGAGAGCAGAGGGCGATTCACGATCCCAAGCATCGGTGCAAGGAGGAAAATATTAGACAGCCTTTCAAGATAAGACTCCCTTAGAATTAGTTCGAGACCAGAGAATCCTCGATTCAAAGCATTCGAAGGAGCACACTTCTTTGACTCATCCGGGAACAATGCACGGACGACTCGACTTCGTGAGAATGTCACTCACAATGAATTACGATCGTCGAGCTGGGATCCTTCTGGGAGCGAGCGTTCTTCGAAGGAGGGGCAAGTTGAAGGAATAGTCACATTTTCAGCCGAATACTTTTCGGCTAGGGGGCGATGATTACTATCAGTGTCACCCGGCTGTTTTCACTTGGCAGAAAAGCTGAAAGACCTAAGATAGAAAATGATGGGAAGACTTCGGTGGGCGTCCTGAGGGTGGGCCGCAATGTTTCACCGTTCCGAGACAGATCAGAAGAGAATGAAAATGAAAGAATTCAGCTTCCAGCTTTCCGAAGAGTAATCGGAGCCTCGTTCGGGTGCTCGGATCGCATCCAAATCATGGCTACAGAACCCCGTGGGATCTGTCTCGATCGGGGAGAGATGGTACACATAGCGCACGGAAGGGAAACGTGGCCCCTTTCGATGCGTTTTTAGCCTCATCATGAACCAAATTTAGTTGGGAAACGCTCAAGGACGCCGCCGTGGGAAGCGTCAGTGGTGGCGTTGGTTGGAATACCAAGGAAGCAGCACGATATTTTTTAAAGTTCGAGCCGCAATTAGATATCTTTGTTCTCGCGCTCAAACGAACCGGGCGGTAACCCCGCGTAAGAACGGTCTCAGAAACGAGTCTCATAATGAGGTTTTCCAGCATCGTTTCGCTAGCGGGAAGAGATTATACGAGACTGGCGGTGGACTCGCAGAGAAATCTAAACGGCTTCAGGAAGCCAGCCGTATATCGATCTCGTGACAGTTCCGGGCTTTTCGTCATCAATTTGGAAGTTTATGCCGCTTGGCATTACAAGAGCGGAAGGGTCAGTGACTCCTCCAACGTACAGAGAAGCCCCACCGGGAAACGCGGCCGGAAAATCTGCTCAACGCAAAAAGTGACCGAAATTGGCAACGCGGATTGGCGTCTACTTAGAAATGTCAGTTCCCATCGCGGAGTGCTTTCGTCGGTTTTCGGCCGCTTCCCTGCTCCACTCCGTCGGCGATCGGCGGAGGACCTATGAGAACGCGTGACGCGAGAAGAATAGAAGACCGTTTCGTGTAGGAGTGGACGCTCTACCCTAGCGATGTTTACGTCGTCAGCCGCTCTTCGAAGATCACAGTGGTTGCTGTAAATTCTCGCTCCCTGTGGTTTTTTTTGACAATGACGGGAATTTTCTCGAGACGATTCGTTATTGGGCTTGATCTGTCGGATCGTAGGCAGGGCTACCTCATGAAGAGGACAAAGTGTAACAGGCTCAGAGGTGGATCCTCCTCTGAATACCCATCCATGGGTCTCATGATCTCGAACATCTATCGATAGAACTCAGCAGGAATGCTAAGGCTGAATCCGAAACCGCATGATTGGTCGGGGGATTATCCAAGAGCCTCGTCGTCTCTACAAGAAGGCAACCCACTCTCTCGAATTCGAAGAGCTCCTCGAGAAGTTCCAGACGTGGATGTTCGGCACCGTGTGTCCATCTACCATGAGCGTATCGGATTCTCAAAAAAAAGAAGAACTGGAAGCTCGAAGCTCTACACTCTGCGCTTATTACTCACCAGTAGCGGAGAGTGGCTGTGACTTCCCGTCCCTGCATTGAGAACTATCGTCTATGAGCCGCGAAACGCTGCGCGGAAAAAT